TCAGTGGTTTAGGCATACGGCTACTGAGCCAGAGATTCGGAGTTTGAATCCTCATAGAGCTGCCCTCTATGATCCATAAGCTCCCTTATAGCTCTTCAGATCTAAGATGATGATGATTATCTTTGAAATGTTACAGAAATGAACAATCTCCAACAATCTCTAAGTCAGTGTGACCCTGAGTAGAACCTGCAAAACTGTAGTCTGTCCATCATTGTTCTATTTACCAACGCATCCATCCTACCTACCCAGTCCATCAAAATTCAAATGTTATACAAGTTATGGAATTGGCAGGGTGTAAGCTTCCAGATGATATTAGGCTGTGGCTGCCATCAGTCTTAGCTTGCATTAATAAAGGTAAATATTAGGAATCACAGTTCAACAACATCTGGAAGGATGCATTTTGCCCACCCTGGTAACATTGTCCCTTCCCCACCCCCCAAAAAGTTCATGGTCACATAAGCCCAATTGCTATATGTTACATGACTTGGAACCAGCCTGGGAAACTCTTTGCCCACCATCTTGAGTAAATCTGGGTCCAGTTTCATGACTTAAGTAATCACCCATGAGCCATGCAATAATTTATTCCAGGGGAGAGGTAGGAAGGCAAAATGTTGAAGGATATTTGAAAAGTGTATCAAATCAGAATGACAAGGTCATCTAGAAACATGTGGTGCACTTTAAAAAACCCACCCTAAAATCTTTCACTAAGCAGCTCATGTACACATCATAAGGACGGGTAGTAAGAGAACTAAGTGCTGTTCTCTTACTCTGGTACATATAGAGATAACGTTTGTTTTCTTAACTTTCTGTCTCAGAATGAGCCACTCAGGAGAGCACACAAACCAAAAAAAACATCACTAATATTGGTATGTACATAATATATAATTGAGAGGCATACAACATAAGGCAGATAAACAGAACAAAAATAGCAGGGGATTAGGATAAACACCAGTTAAAGCAATAAAGCATCCAATAGGTCAAGAACCTAATGGAAAAGAAAAGTGACATTTCGTTCCAAAACAGTCAAGTGGATCATCTGAAACAGGATGTTCCTAAACTTAGACCTGCACATCACATCCTTTCACACTCTCTGCTAAGGTATTTCATTAGGTGGCTTTACAGGAGAGAAGTAGTCATGGTGTCATCAAAGAAAAGATCTTCCTCAGTTTGAAATCAGTTTTCCTTCAAAACAAAGGAAAATATTTGCTTTCTGGACCTTGAGGAAGGACCACTTTCAGTGAATAGCTAACTCCCCTACAGCAGCAGCCAGCTCCTCTCTCCACACACACACACACACACACACACACACACACACACAGAGAGAGAGAGAGAGAGAGAGACCATAATCTGTACAAAGTAATTTACGTTTCAAAAAGTCCAGCTTGTTGGTGGAGAAAGACAAGAGGACAAGTTCAGCAAGCACAGCCACTGTTTCCATATAATTGCTACTGTGTATGGCTGTGCATTTTTCTTGTCAAACATCTAAATTAAAGCAGGTTAGAAAGGTCCTTCTAATGAGAATCCATCAAATTATACAGATCTCTACAGTATATAATTAATTATAATTTAGTACTACCCAGTGTGTACTAACATCACTACATACCCAGTGTGGTGTAGTGGATAGAGTGATGGACTAGGATTCTAGAGAATAGGGTTCATATCCCTGCTCAGCCATGAAAACTCACTGGGGATGTGGAACTGGTGAAACCACTCCTTAAATATCTCACTTACCTTGAAAGCGCTACTAGGGTTGCTATAAATCGGTTCTGACTGGATGGCAAAGAACAACAATATACCTTGCTCTAGGCTACAGGTTTAAAAAACAAAAGAGAAATATCCTTTCTGAAGTGAATCCTTGAAGATTACAATATTGTTCCTAAACAGAAAATTCCGCTTGCATCAGATGTTTTGGTACCAAAGATGATATAAAATCCATATTGATTTTATATAAGAAGCCATGCTAGTTGTAAGATAAACGAGGTCCAAAGGCACAAAAATTGTCTGTGCAAACTTTCAAGGTAACATGTCTTCTTTGGGCATATTGCAAAAAGAAGACAGGAAAGTAAAATAGGTATGGCTTTCCTCTGAAATTTAAATATGTCCCAATATTAATCAAGTTCTGCCAGCAATTCAGACAGCAAGCTTTCTCTCATGGCTATGACCCACATTTTCCCTAATCAGCCAGTTTCTCTCTGCCAATATATTGATTGGAGCATCTAAAGAATTGTAGCTTTTTCTTTTGCTCTCAGCCCACTCCCATGTCTTGCCTGTGAAGAGTTCTCAAAGCCAGGCATTAATGAGGTACAAAGCATTTCAAAGGTCACCATTTCTGGAAATGGTCAAGTCTTCTTCTCCTTCATGACTTCTCTGCTGCTGTGAAGGAATGGTGGCTCCATCTTTCGCCTCATTCTCTCTAATTCTGTGCTAAAAAGAGAGCATAGAGGTGCTCCTGCTGCCACCACCTTATATGAGAGTGAAGGACTTGCGTCCCTTCGTCAGTATGGACTAGTACAACTGTGTGTTTTTTGTCATTAAGGCTTAGATGGATGTTGCTATTCAAGTTGTAGGACAGGTAGTAGCTTTGCTCACTCTGAATGCAGAGCATAGCAGCCACCCCAAGGCATTGTATGTATGAAGGGTATTTGCTTTCTACCTGAGGCAGTGGGAGACACTAGCCAACCCTGATCAGAATTTTCACATTTAAGTCTGCATCCAATTGCTAGACACAACTGCTAGGCCTATTCCACTTGGTACCCAGTGTGGTGTAGTAGACAGAATGACAGTCTAGGACTCTGAAGACCTGAGGCTGACTTCCTGCCCAGCCATGGAAATCTGCTGGTGGTGTGAAACCGGCAAAATCACTCCTTAAATACTTCATTTACCTTGAAATACCTATTCAGGTTCCATGGTTCAGTTTTGACTTGACAGCACCTAACAAGAACAACTCCAGTTGGGCTAGCAACTGGATTTGGGGCTTAGGTTAAGGTTGTGGGTTATTCCCTACTCCAGAATTAGACTAACCATACATACATTTTCTGAGCAAACGTTCTTTAAGATTGGGCTTCCAAGAATAAAGTATTAGTATTATAAAACTGTGTAAACCAGTAGAGACTGTACGCCAACTATTTGGTGTAATTAGTGCAGACAGGATTGGTGGTGATGGCAGAAATCTAAAGCTCAGTTTCAGAGCTGGGAATTGAGTTGCCCTCACTAGCATGATAAAACACAGAGAAAGCAGCAAGAGTGCAGTTTGGTTCATAGGCTGGGGCCTGTTAAGACCTTGATAAAGCCAGCTGGAATGTATGCTGCGTAACCCAGGACAGCTGGAAGGAAAACAAGACCAGTCGCAAATTAAATTAAGAGGTGTAAAATGCCATGAGAAAAAACAAAAACAAAACTGAGATGGTGAAAACAGGTGCCAACTGACATTTACTCCATATTCAGTCACACTTTCTTTTTTCACTGTGTGATTAGCAGCTAAGCTGAATTAGAGCAGATTTCATGCTTCTGTGACCTCCATGACTACCCATAAAAAAGAAGGAAAAACACCTGCAGAAATATGTTTTCCCTAAGAGCTGTAACAGCAAAATCCAAAACTATTGTAAAACCAGCTTGGTAATAGTGATGTGCTGGTTGGATTTAAAGGGCAACACTGTGTTCATATGTATGGATTCAGTCACTGGCTAAAACCACAACTACTGTAAGTATTAGTTTTAAAAGACTGATTATGAGGGATGACAGTTTAAATTATTTTTCACTGTTTCATTTTTAGGTGAATTGCCTCAACACAATTCGTTGTTAAAATGAGTTGCATGAAGATTTATTTTGCTTGCTTTAAATAATGCATTAGTAATTTGTGGTACAAGTTAATGCTGGGTGACAGAGTAAGTTGGATCTCACATCCTGTACAGGAAGTTTGGTCCTTTCTGTAGAGTTAGATTGAAATGGAAACCTGATTAAATATATAATGTTTCAGAAGACATAAAGAACTTATCACTCATTCATTAGCAAGCATTCATAACATTGTTCGAATTATGTGTACAGTTTCAATCTTGTACACAAGTTATCAAGTTTCAACAATATTTGTTTGAAGCAGTATAGTATTCTAAATACTGTATGTAAAACTGATTCCTATGAACTCATTTCTCTCTGAGACCAGTTTCACTAGCTAAGTGTGGAGAAGAGAGCTACAATTAATGCTATCCACAGGGGGAGACAAATGGCATCTTAAAAACATGGTATCACAGAGTTGCTAAGATGAATGCAAAACAGATGGCATTTTCATATACATATATATATATATATTACAAACAAAAGTTCTGACATGCAGACCAAGCTGGTGTAAAAATAAAACTGAAGAGGAAATACTTAAAGGAAATGTTTGTATAATACTTCACAGAAGGTCTGCTATTATGAAATTATGTTCTATAACTTAACAGCTGCAGAATGGTGATTATATTGCCAGTAGAAGTGATTTTTTTTGGCAATTAAAAACTTCCTACTTCTACAATTTTTGCTGACTCCCATATAATCTTTTTCAATGTCTCGAAGCCTTGGGTGCCATTGGAAGTAAGTAAGTCTTTAATTATAAAAAACTGACACTGCTGAATGATGTTACCAGCAGGGAAAGATTTTAATAACTAAAGCTTTCTTCTGTCCCACCACTCCCATAGCTTCCACACAATGAAAGGTATTACATGGGAGTGAGAAAAGCCACAAGACAGAAGCAGAATGTTTTTAAGTACCAAAACGTGCCTTCTGTCACAGATGTCATCACTATTCCATAGGCATAATTTACATTCAGCCATCATCTAATAATGGTTGCATTGCAAGTGCACCATGGGTTGAAACTCATTATGTTTACTAATGATGTGTTTACATTAATCACTTACTATTATATTTACTACTTCAATTATTCCAGAAAATATTTTAAACCTCATTTTTATTAATTCTTCTAGCACAAATTATTCTGCAGTCTGTAAATAAGACAAACTCAAAGGTGTCTTGTTAATACTTTATTAGTGTATGTTTCCAAGCTGTTCTGTTGGACAAACATAATGCAAACTCCAAATAAAAACTCAGAGTTCTTAGCTGTTCCAAGAGAGAGAGACCATGGCATTCCAAATTTGTTTCATTCTTTGTTAAAGAAGATGGGGAAAATATTGATAGAACCATAGGCACACAGTTGACACATACTGTACAATGATATGCACAAGTTATTTTTAACAGCTGTATTAAGATGTGCTCTTTAGGTTTTGCTTCTTGTAATGTAAGAACCATGCTCATCTGAGCACAGAGAAATAGAGCTTTACAGGGAGTGACAAACCAGACTTTTAAAACAAGTCTTTAGATAAGCCAACACAGCAGCAGTAACAGAATATACATTGTTGGTTAAGACAGTTTACTCTTGATCTCAAAACCTTAAAAATGTACTTTTTTTAAACAGTTTTTCAAATCAACATGCATTACATGGAAATATTGCACTAAAATTAAAATTCAGATTGTGGAATTCATATTTCACTTTTTAAAACTGTTACACATTCTGATAGCATTTAAAATGAATTGTTTAGTTATAGCAAACACCAGAGGCAGAAGCTTGAGGATGAACCATATGAAATATTCCACCTTATGTTCATTCTCTTTAATTAAGGCTAAGTTTATTTTCTTAGACAATGGCACATTTATTTTCAGAGGCTGGTCACAGCATTCTCAGACCAGGGAATACCTGGCTATTTGTGTGCTGTATTTACACAATCAGTTCGGGGGTGTACTTCAAAGGATGCAAATGAGACAGGGGCCACAGTTTATAAAATGTGAATGGGTAATGTGAGCATCAGGAAGAGACATACAAAGGATGGCTTCTGTTTGCAGGCACATATTGCAGTTAAATACAGATGACAAAATCCTGTGTTTGTCAAGAGTTATAAAATGAGCTATATCTTGTGTTTCATTAAACCAAGATTTTACAGGTACACAGTCAATTTAAGAATTCAGCAGTTGTGTAGCATCCTAATGGCTAATAGAAATGCTGACCACTGACCACTAACAATTCTGACTCAAGAATACTGTAAATTAAGTAATCTAGATGTATTAATTCAAACGAAAACCATACATTAGGGCTCCACTATGACTTTTATTTAGGCCTGCCACATTTCTTGTATCCAAGGTACCATGCAGATGATGATGTTTTACAACTGAGTTGAAACACATGGACATTTCAAAATGAAATAGGGCTAGTTGTCGTAGAGAATCTATGCATATCCGATGACTTGAAATAGCAGGTGGAGGCTCAGTTTGAAAAACCCTCAATAGGAAAACAAAACACCTGCATGTAACAAGCTAACATGTTGAGTAAAAGCTTGGCTAGAATACTTTTTCCTGGCATGCTATCTTTCTAGGTGGAAGGATTTAAATATTCTGCATGAACTGATACTTCATGCTTGTTATTTTCCACTACTGTGGTATTAGTAACGGATTAAACACACACATATATATTATTTGTTGATCAGTAGAGACAAAACAAAACAATTGCACTTTAACACAAGCTTTTAGTGTAATGGATGTAAAATTCTCTATTTCAGATATCCAGTACTGAGTAAATTCTATAGCAAGAAAAAGAGTGTTGGAGGAACACTCTGTAGGTTTTAAAACAAATGCTCCTCTTGGCTACTCCCCTTTAGATCCTACCAGGTGTCAACTATTTTATCCTGGATCCAAGTTACTCAGCAGAAAGCCTTTAGTGTCAAATTTTTTTAGATGCTGCAGTTAGAATCAAATACAAAACATATGGAAATTAACCTGGCTAATTAATATCAGAGTTTCTTCCAAAAGCATGCTTCATATCATTGCATTAATTGTGCACTCTACCAATTCACTAAAATTCCTTAGTGATGGGAAATGTTTATCAAGGGGGGGGGAAGAGATGTTAAATCGAAAATAAATTGAGGTTAAACAAAGTGTATTCAATCATTACTTTGTTCTCAGTTAGACATGTTTGGAAGTAAAGAGGATAGACAGGGGCTTTTTGTGTAGAAGAGGTTTATTAAAATTTTACATTATTCAAAAAAATAAAAAAGGTCATTATTTAAAAAAATATTGTAGTTGTGTTTTTTTATTTTCATATATACACTATGGTGCATTCAGGAATTTGCAACTGTTTGCATTTGACTGTTCAATGAAGACCATATGATGTGTCAGTAAGAAACAAAGTTACTTTTGCAGTTTACCACTCGAAGTGATCATTATTTAGGGTACCTTTTAATAGCAAATGGTACAATTCTTTTAAAATAGGTTGTTAATATCAAGAGCACTGTATATTAAATAATCTTCCTTCCTTAGCCCCACGGTCCCCTAATAAATAAATGTGGCAAGCCCTTGATTGGCTAAGTGCTATTTTCTTGGCTAAGTGCTATTTTCAGGCTTCTCCCTTAATATATGCAGACTAGAAGGACTATAATTAAACAACAAAACAAGACACCTCCCAAAAGAATAAATCAAACCAACATCTATTTTTCTGTATTTCTACCCGATCTCACTGAATGATAACCCCAAACAAAATAATTTATTCAAGATTTTTTTTAAAAAATCCAGGAAGGTGAAATTGTGTGCAAAAGCCATCATTATTACCTCAACCTTTAGCTGGACAATATAGCTTGAGGGAAATTAACAACAGTTCTCTTTGTTCCAGAAGACTCCTCTTTCTGCTAGCTCAACCTGTTTCAAGCTACCAACTGAGCCCTACAAACATCAACAGACATAATGCAAAATCAAATTGCACCTGCTTCTCACATTGCACAATCTCCCAGTTCCAAGTAAAGCAGCCAGATCCTCCATTGCTATCATCACAGTTGTGCTTTACTTATCTCTCAATGGACACAGTCTAGCACTTTTCATTGCTGGCATTCATAGATTCTGTCAGGAGTGGAAGCAACAGACATTCTTACAGAGTGGGCCAGTATTCTTCTCAGTGTTGCATGAAAATGCACCAAATCATTTAAGACACATGAACCCAGTTCATGGTAGTGGTTGCATTAGAGATGAAGGATGAGAAGAACCACAACCTTTATGGATGCATTAATAATCTAATATGTGACACTAAAAGACTGGTGCAGAAATAACAGCATGAGAGTTTTAAGCCCCAGAGAACTGCCCAAGTTCTGGGCAAATGAATACCAATATAATTGTTTGGAGTGTCACCTTTTCTGTAAAAAAGGCGCTTGTGTAGATTGTAGTCTATGCATGTATCGCTGCATCTGCTTTGAGCCTGAATGCAGTTTTTTGAAGAGATCAGGAAATCCATATACGGGAAATAAGGTTTCCAAGAAGCCTTCCAGAAAGACATAAACCAGACGCTTATTTAGTTGAGTATGCTGAAACATTTCAAAGACTCGGAGAATGCCTTTCCTTGTTGTCTCAGCACCAAGAATATGCTTCAACTCATCTAGATAAATCACAAAATATAGTTGTTAAGTAAAAATTTCATTTATATCAATAGTTAATAATTAAATGAGTGCCATCAAGTCAATTCTGGCTTGTGGTAACCCTTGTTACTGTGAAATTAATTATGCAATTATTATTGTTGTTGTTTAGTCGTGTCCAACTCTTTGTGACCCCATGGACCAGAGCACACCAGGCCCTCCTGTCTTCCACTACCTCCCGGAGTTTGGACAAATTCATGTTGGTAGATTTGATGACACTGTCCAAACACCTCGTCCTCTGTCGTCCCTTTCTCTTGCCTTCACACTTTCCCAACATCAAGGTCTTTTCCAAGGAGTCTTCTCTTCTCATGAGATGGCCAAAGTATTGGAGTCTCAGCTTCAGGATCTGTCCTTCCAGTGAGCGCCCAGGGTTGATTTCCTTCAGAACGGATAGGTTTGTTCTCTTTGCAGTCCAGGGGACGCTCAGAAGTCTCCTCCAGCACCACAATTCAAAAACATCAATTCTTCAGCGGTCACCCTTCTTTATGGTCCAGCTCTACTTCCATACATCGCTACTGGAAAAACCATAGCTTGTATTATGTGAACTTTTGTCAGCAAGGTGATGTCTCTGCTTTTCAAGATGCTGTCGAGATTTGTCATTAGTTTCCTCCCAAGAAGCAGGCATCTTTTAATTTCGTGGCTATTGTCACTATCTACAGTGATCATGGAGCTCAAGAAAGTAAAATCTGTCACTGCCTCCATATCTCCCCCTTCTATTTGCCAGGAGGTGATGGGTCTGGTGGCCATGATCTTAGTTTTTTTATGCTGAGCCTCAGACCATTTTTGCACTCTCCTCTTTCACCCTCATTATGAGGTTCTTTAACTCCTCATTTTCTGCCATCAGAGTGGTATCATCTGCATATCGGAGGTTGTTTATATTTCTTCCAGCAATCTTAATTCCGGTTTGGGATTCTTCCAGTCCATCCTTTCGCATGATGTATTCTGCATATAAGTTAAATAAACAGGGGGACAATATCCAGCCTTGTTGTACTTCTTTCTCAATTTTGAAGCAGTCAGTTGTTCCATATCCAGTTCTAACTGTTGCTTCCTGTTCCACATATAGATTTCTCAGGAGATAGACAAGATGGTCAGGCACTCCCATTTCTTCAAGAACTTGCCATAGCTTGCTGTGGTCCACACACAGTCAAAGGCTTTTGTGTAGTCAATGAAGCAGAAGTAGATGTTTTTCTGGAACTCTCTGGCTTTCTCCATAATCCAGAGCATGTTAGCAATTTGGTCTCTAGTTCCTCTGCCCCTTCGAAATCCAGCATGTACTTCTGGGAGTTCTTGGTCCACATACTGCTGAAGCTTACTTTATAGAATTTTGAGCATAATCTTGCTAGTGTGTGGAATGAGTGCAATTGTACAGTAGTCGGAGCATTCTTTGGCAGTGCTCTTCTTTGGGATTGGGATGTAGACTGATCTTTTCCAATCCTTTGGCCACTGCTGAGCTTTCCAAACTTGTTGCCATATTGAGTGTAGCACCTTAACAACGTCATCTTTTAAGATTTTAAATAGTTCCACTGGAATGCCATCACCTCCACTGGCCTTGTTGATAACCATGCTTTCTAAGGCCCACTTGACTTCACTCTCCAGGATGTCTGGCTCTAGGTCAGCAACCACACTATATGGGTTGTCCCGGACATCCAACTCTTTCTGATATAATTCCTCTGTGTATTCTTACCACCTCTTCTTAATGTCTTCTGCTTTTGTTAGGTCCCTACCATTTTTGTACCATTTATGCAATTATGAATAAATGTAACTATGTAAAACATCAAAACATCAGATGACAAGGAAGAGTGTTACCTTATGTAACTAAAGTTTCTCAGCTTGACTCCTAATACAATATTCAGACACAGCTATACAAGGCTCCACTCCTTTAAAATTCAGTTTTTGTGGCTGAAAGCATTTCTTATTTCAGCTCACAGGGCAATTAGCTTAATACATTTCACAAACCTGGCATTATCCCCAGTAATTTTGTTTTTCCAGCAATTCGTGTTCGCATCTTGATGGCACTGTCTCTGCGAGGAACAGCCTCAGCTAAAATGCCATTTGGCCAAAAGGCATCTCTGTAAGCAGACAAATTTACTGGTTAAAATGAAAATCATGTTATACTTATCATCAGCGAACAATGCTGCGTATCAAACACAATTTATACATGCAAAGATCAGCTGGTATTTCAAAATGTCAATATTCATGTCTTCTCTAGATTAATCTGAGTGTATTTTCAGACCCCAGGTTTACAAAATATTTGGCACCAGTGGTAGACAGCTTATATAAGCCCCTATACTGGGGGGGGGGACAAATACTTTATTTCATATCATTTCAAATCATATCATTTATTGAGTTTATCATTCAATAAATAAAAATAATATTATTTAGTAGAATTTTTAAATAAAACATTGAATTTAAAAAGATATTTAGTCAGTTCAGCTATGCATCTGTCCATTTTGACCACATGTTCTTGGAGTGTAGCCTCTGAGTTTCTGGTCAATCTGAAAAAGCCTCAGTTCCACTAAAGTTACTCCAGGCCCAGAACATACAAGAGATTATTAATCCAACCAAAACAAACCAGGTGAGTAAGGCTTTGACTCATTAGTGAAAAGAACAGGAAAGTTGAAAATACTTAATGCTATCATAGTTTCAGTTCAGTGTTGCTACAGAAAGGATTGTGGTAGTTCAAGTCAGAACTACACAATTAACTAACTAAAGTAGGAGAACTGGACACTATTAAAATCCCACTTCAAGCCTGCCTTCCTGTAACTCTTTGAAACAAGAAAGTCCAATTGTATACATTAAATAGAATGTGGAAGTGTTTGTTTGTTTGTTTGTTTGTTTGTTTGTTTGTTTGTTTGTTTGTTTGTTTGGTGGGGGAGAAGTATACAATATCTCAGGTAGCTTAATATACTTAAAAATAATCCTTTGTGAGAAGCAGTTTTTAAAAATGGTTAACCATAAAGGGATCTAATGTACACCAGTCCATGTTGTCAGGAAAAGTAGTATTTCTTTGAACACCATACAGAACATACCTGAACCGTTTAACTGCATCTGCTACTTGTTCAGGAGAGGTCATCCAATCTACATGATCAACTATTTTTCTGAAATGAAGAAAAGAGCCTAGCTCTGAATGCAATAAATGAGAAAAGGGGGCCTTTAGTTTCTTCTAATTCACAACAAAACAATGGTAGGTTAAGGTAAAGGTTTCCCTTGACAATTTGTCCAGTCGTGTCTGACTCTAGGGAGCGGTTCTCATCCCTGTTTCCAAGCCATGGATCTAGTGTTTGTCCGAAGACAGTGTCCATGGTCACATGGCCAGTGCGACTAGACATGAAATGCCATTACCTTCCCACTGAGGTGGTACCTATTTATCTACTTGCATTTTTACATGCTTTCGAACTGCTAGGTTGGCAGGAGCTGGAACAAGCGATGGGAGCTCACTCCACCATGTGGATTCAATCTTACGACTGCTGGTCTTCCGACCATGCAGCACAGAGGCTTCTGAGGTTTAACCCACAGCGCCACCACGTTCCCCTCAAAACAATGGTGCTTAAGCTTAATTGACTTAGTCTGTATCAAACCCACTGCATTTTTCAAAATCAATACAAGTAAATCTTTGATGAGAAAGTAGTCAAAAGATGAGAATGGCAGGACCTATACTTTAATACGAAGGTGCCTATATTGAACTCAATTTTGGATAGGAGAAAATCCAGAATGACTTTGTTACTTGCATAATTATAGTTCTTTGAGTGGTGAACCATGTATCCACACAGAGAGGTTCTGTGCCAGCACACATCCCACTTCAGAAAGTTCCAGAAACGAAAATGCCTCTTTGCTTTTATCGCGCAAGTGTGGCTCCACTCTTCTCAGTCCAAATTGTCCACCGCTAGAAAAAATAGGAAGGGTGAAACAAGAGGGGAGGTAGGCGGGATGTGTGGATACATGGATCACCACTCGAAGAAACATAATTATGTAAGTAACCAAGTCTTCTTCGTTGTGGTATCCATGTATGCAAACAGAGGGGTGATTAACAAGCCAAAGTTTCGAGGTGGGAATTACGCCAGAATAGAGGATAGTGCAGCCCTACCAAAAGCAGAGTCTTTCTGAGCCCTGAGATCTAGTCTCTAATGTGTGACAACTGATAAGGGCTTGAACCAAAAGATCTTCTGGATGTCGACACCTCACATAAAAGCAGTAGATGAGGAGCTTCCCCTAGCAGAGTGGCCATTGAAAGCCTGAGGAGGGGGCTTGTTTGCAAGTTCACATGTCAAGGTGATGGCTAGGGAGATCCACTTGGAGAACCATTGGGGGCCTTAGTAGTAGACAACAAGTTTAGTCATCTGTCTACAATCTTTTGTCCTGTCTAGATAGAAGGCTAGTGCTCACCAGACATCCAAGAAATGGAGGGACCATTCTGCGGAGACAGATAGAAAGCAGGTAGTATGATAAGTTGAGACATGTGAAAGTGGGACACCACCTTAAGGAGGAAGGTAATGTTGGTGTGGAGAAAACCTTGTTGCAGCAAAATATGGTGCATGGTGAGTCACATCTGAGAGCTGTGAACTCCACAGTCCGACACGCTGACGTGAGGGCCACTTGGAGTGCCTTGGCATCCCATTTAGAGACAAAAGGCGGAGATCTGTTGTAGCCAGTGATTTGAAGGGATGTTTGGTGAACTGGGAGAGGACCAATGATAGGGACCAGAGGTTCTGTGAAGGGTGCGCATCTGGCTAAGTGTTGTGAAGGCCCTTTAGAAACTTTTTGTTTGTTGGTCGACAAAGAAGTTGAGGAAATGACAATGCTCTGGTTGACCTGAGATATGGAAGTACAAATCATGAAGGTCTTTGGATGCAAATTAGTCTCCCCATTGGAAAAGGGGGAGAATGGACTGTAAGGTCACCATCCAGAAATGTTTTGCAGTGATAAATTTGTTTAGGGGACATAAATCCAAGATGCGGTGCAGACCTCCATACAGTAAAATACCGGGAGAAAAGTTAGCAGATGTGTGATGGGAAGGCACTCTTGAGGTGGCTCCTTTCTTCATGAGTGTCTGATTTCATCCCGAAGGACGGCGGAGGGGTGGTGCATCAAATATGGCCTTCGGGTAGAAGGGACAAAAATTCTATGGTGTATCCATGGGCTATGATACTGAGAACCCAGGCATCCAAGGGATGGATTCCCAAATGTAGATAAACAGTGCCAACTGTATGTCTGTTACTCCTGAGGAATGTGATGGTGGATAGAACATAGAGGCGTCCAGATTGGGCTGGGACACATGAAAACTGTTGTCAGAATTTTCTGTCCATTATCTTAGGGAGAATGGTCTGTTTGTAGTTAGTGGAAGAAGAGGCAGGAGTGAAGCATTGGTGGTTGGATTGGTCAAATACCTTGGATCATTCTGATGGAGAGCTGTAGTTAGAGTATGGATGGGACCTCTTTCCGTGAGGACAGAAGTGAGAGGCTGTTGGGAGGTATGAGTTGATATCAATTTTCCTTGCACCTGTCTTCTTTTTATGGAGGTCCTGCATGAAATAGTCAGTTTTGTCACTGAAGAGACTCTCTCCATTGAAGGAGATGTCTTATATTTGGGATCTGGAGTTGTCTGGGAGGCCTATTGAGTGGAGCAATGTATGCTGGTGAAAAGTGATGCCTGCTGTCATGCTCTTAGCCGTACAGTCTGCCACATTTCAGGTGGAGTGGATTTGCTGTCTGGCAAGAGCATACACCTCCTGCTGAAAAGAGATGACCAAAGTCTTCTTGTCTAGAGACAAGGCTGAAATAGGGGTTTGAAACTTTTTCCATGTGAACTGGTGGTAGGTGCCCATCATGACCTGGTAGTTGGCAATGTCCATATGGAGCACTGCTGATGATTAAACCTTACGAGCAAGTAGATCTAGTTTACAGCTTTCCTTGTTGTTTGGAGGAGCCCTTAGATCTCATTTGGGCCATCTGTACAATGACAGAATTCCATATGGGATGTTTGATCAGGAACCTAGCTTTGTCCTGTTGAACCCTCTAAAATATTTTGATTCTGTGAGATATTGGCAGAACCTAGGAAGGCTTCTGCCAGGACTGGCTGATAAGGTTTGTCAGGGTCTTGAGCACTGCCATTTCAACAGGAATATTTGTTTTCTTATGGACATAGGTGAAGACCGCATCCTTGGCTGTGGTACCGGCTTGAAGACAGGCAGCTGTAATGATTTTGCCATTCTATCAGGTCATTATAAGAGGTCTTCTGAAGGGGAGAGTGAAGCATCATCCAGAACGTCAGAAGTGGGTGAAGATCCCGGAGCATGAACAGAGTCCTTGCCCACTTCTCCTGTGGAGTTGGCGGAGCTGTCCCCAAATCATGGATCCCCTAAGGGGATCGAAGCTGTTGCCAGCAGATGGTGGGAGCTGTGTGGTAATTGTGAGGTAAGTGGACCATCTGTATCAAGAAAGGGAAGGACTAATGATGAGGCAGGTTGGAGAATCAAGGCATGAAAGGATGACTGGGGAGATCCCGGTTGTTGTCCACATGGAAGGCACAAATTAGTGCAGGGGTGGGCAATTAATTTCTATAGGTGGGCCACATGAAAAATCTGAACTGTGTTCGGGGGGCCGAACTATACTTAAAAATAAAATGAAACAGTGATGTTATGATTGTTTTTATTTTAAACTTGTTAATCACAAATACTAAAGAGTTTTTTTGTGATATATTAAAAATCAGCAACTGATCAACTTTAGACAAAAAGCTATAAACGGTTTTGATGTTCAAAACCGTCCGGGGGCCGGACAGGAGTGGCTCGCGGGCTGTATGTGGCCCTTGGGCCGCACTTTGCCCATGTCTGGATTAGTGGATCAGTGTGGAAACTGAGCTCAATTTTGAGACTTCTGGTGGGTATGGGAGTCATGGCAGTGCTCATATCCTCAGGAAGAACAGTCTCAAGGGTTGGTAACATAGGCTTCTCAAGAGCAAGGGTAAGTGTGTACACACAATCAAGACCTGCTCCGCTCTCTGGATCAATATCAACTCTTGTACGACTGGGATGGCCATCCCATATCCCCATACATGAAACGAGGGGGACAAAAGAAGGGAGCGTAATAAGCATCCTCATGGTATTGAGAGCCTGTTGAAGGGGACTGTGAGTAGCATGGTTGGTATTGGTGTGACAGAGATCGTGAGATCAATCACCATCTGGGCCTCCTTGCCTCCCTTTCATGTTGCCCTAGTTGCGGAGATCACTGGGTAACAAAGAGGGAACTTGATCTTGACATTTGCCCATTTCAGATGGCAGAGGTGAGAATTGCTCCTGCAAAGGAGAGGGTGCTCTTGCTAAGGCAGCAACACTCTGCACACAGGGACTCAAATGTTCACCCTCTGAGACCAAGACCATGTATTGGGTGCCAGCAATGGGACCAGAGGTAGGCTCTCAGATGGGTAGCTGAGGATCTGAGGTAGCCACAACAGCACCGGCATCCACAGGTTACTGTTTCTTCTTCCTTTTTGTTGCCTCAATATTGGAGGCTGCCAGTTGTTTTTAACTGCCATGCTCCATCAATTTCTTCATTGACTTTGATGGTGATTTCAAGGAGGACAAAGGACTGGGCTTTGATTCCGGGGCTTTTTCGGGTAAAGTTGACTGGTCCATTTGAGGGCTTGGATTCGTCTTAATAGGGGGATCCGTAGCTCAAAGGGACTGTTCCCAGAGGAAAGATCAAAGCCAAGACTGGCAATTTTTAAGTGTAAGGGCAGTAAAACATTTACATATTCTATATGACTGGACTAGATGGGTTTTTCCAGACAAAACAGGCAAATATATCCATCAGATTGGGGGATCTTTTTGTCACAAGTGGCACACTTCTACATTAAAGCAGAAGCCATAAATAGCTGAGTAAGGGGGAGTGGCAAAGATGGGGAAGGGACTAAACACTCTTTTTTTAAGGTAAAAAGGAGAAGAAAGGAAGAAAAAAGGGAAAAAGAAGGCAGAAGGCATATTGAAAAATGTTAGTGAGTGGGGCAGAGGCTCCAGAGCAGACCTCTGCATGCTGTCACTGTAGGGGCCAAAAAAGGACTAAGGAGAGTAGGGCTATGCTTGTTCAGTACAGGCACAGAGGCACTTTCGTATTTGAGGCTCTGTAACTTTTCAAAGTGAGTTCTGCACAGGGGCAGAACCTTTATGTGTGCATACATGGACACCATGATGAAGACCTTTATGTTTTTCAACTTATTCTGAAGTTGCAATGATATTTCAAAGGTGTAACTTTTCAAAGACAGTTCATGTGTTTCAAGATGAAATACAAGATTCTTGAGAGAATGAGCAAGATCCAACATGCTGGCCAAAATCCTATTGTTTACATATGGTGGGATAAATCAAATGATATAAATTGCAGCAGCAAATGACCATTAGTTCAGAAGTCAAGGTGTGTTTTTTCTCATCACATATCAATCAGATGTCTTGGTGCATGATGAGAAATACAAACCCCAACTTCTTGACTAATGAGTTGTGCCACAGTGATTTACATCATTTAAATTACTGCTGTGGGGAATAAGAAATAGGATTCTAGATACTTAGTACACCACACTGACTCAGCAAGGACAAAAGTTGCTGTGCTTTCACTAAGTTATTAAGTGCAACATCAAATAGAGGAAGAAAAGCAACAAGAAAACCACAACTTGTACCCCAACAGGAAAAAAGAAAGTCAGCGAGGCAAATAACTGTGTGGGGCCAACACCATAAGTTGGCAACCATAAAGATAAAAAACACCAAGTCAGACAACTCACTCATCTTCTCTCATCACTCTCCTATTAGTAACTAGGGAGTAGAGGAAAGGGAAGTATCAGGTAGTCATTCTGTCTAGGACCACAAGTATGAAAATGACTTATTAAAACTGCATCAGCCTTTTAAAAATATATATTAGTACCTAAAATGGAAAGAATAGCTTTCACATGCATTACACATAATACTCAGATTTTTAAGAATTTAAAAAATGAACACAGTACTTATTTATTGTATATCCATGCATTGCTCTAATCAGCTGCTGAAGCAAATTTTTGATATTTCTTCGTAACCATTGATTTCTCTCCTTCAGGTCGAAGATTTCATCCATTAGTAGCAGCATTATTTTAAGAGGGACATTATCATCCACCTAGTAAAATGGGGTGAAAAGATCATAATCAACATCATTATTATATAAAAGGCAATGAGATCATCTTTTTTGACAAGTTCAGCAATTTTAGTCAGAACCACCACAAATATGAGGATACTACTTTGTGCAAAAAATAAATAGGGATCCTTCTGCTCAAGCAAAGACTGGATTAGAGCCAGCAGTACTCTTTAGCAGATGGACTAGTCTGTAATGCACCAGATTGCCTCCTTCTGATTGTGGGAGGAATCTTTACAGTTTCTCTCTTGTTCCTGCAGCCCAACACATCACCTCCCATGCTGCTTCAGAAGATCCACTAACCCTGTGATGCATATTTTGCAAGGAAAAGAGACCTTATAATACAAAATACATAACACCTATTGTTCATTAAGCAGAAAAACTACCTCCCTCTAACATGGAGCGCTGAACCATTTGCCAGAAATTTACCATTTACTTAGCTATTACCATTCTAGAGAGGCAATTAACCAACCACAGAAATGAAAAGTTATTTTCATTTCGGGAATGTACATGTTAAATCATATTCATTTTGTAACAGCTTGACTCTCCCATACTCCTACCAGTTTAGTCTCTGAAAGGCAAACTGAACAGAATAAAACTATAACAGCACACCCCTATACAGTGCTTTGCTTCGACTTGCAGCTGGAGCTTCAATTTAGAGTACTAACTGTTGGTCAACAAAGAGCTTATTTGTAGCTCTTTCACCCCAAAGGTTAGAGTGTGTGTGTTGGAGGAGGCTTCAGACTGCCTGGTGCTGCTTTCTGCTCCTGAGTAAGTACATTTACTTTGTTTTTCAGGGTGGGTTTGAGTTGGGGGGGTTATGTTTCTGTGCTGTGATGTGGTTTGGTGTGTGTTTTGTTTTTTCCCCCAGCCCCATCGCATTCCGATGGGGCTGGCTATGCATGTGGGGTACTTTTTTTAATTTGTTTTTTTCAGCCCCATCGTGTTCCGATGGGGCTGGCTATGCATGTGGGGTATTTTTTTTATTTGTTTTTTTCAGCTCCATCGTGTTCCAATGGGACTGGCTATGTGGGTGGTGGTGGTTTTTTTTCAGCCCCATCGTGTTCCGATGGGACTGGCTGTGTGGGTGATGGTGTTTTTTTTTATTTGTTTTTCAGCCCCATCATGTTCCGATGGGGCTGGCTGTGTGTAGGGGTTGTTTTTTAATTTGATTTTCAGTCCCATTGTTTTCCGATGGGGCTGGCTGTGTGTGTGGGGTGTTTTTTTAATTTGAGGGGGTTGGTATTTTTTTTTAATGTTGGAACAGATTAACCACGTTCAAATACATTCCTATGGGAAATGGTGCTTCAACATATGACCATTTTGAGTTATGCCCATCTTCTGGAACAGATTATGGTCGTAAGTCGAGGCACCACTGTACCATGTTCCCAACTAAATTCAGATTTAACGAAATGGGTAGCGATCATGGAACATATGCCAGCCTTCAAGGTGCCATTAGACTCCTCACTCCGCTTCTTGAAGTAGACCAACACAAATATACTTCTATATTTTATAAACATAATTTTACCTATGTACACATTTATAGTGCCATATTGGCAATCTGACGATTTCAGCTACATAAATAACATAAATATACTGATGGGTAACTTCCATAATATTTTTTAAAAATGCATATCATGAAATGTATCATGTGGCTGGGGGCAAAAGTCATTTTGCTGAAGTCACAGTAGCAATTTGTATAGAGAAATTCAAGTGGAAGGCTTTGATGTACCAAGGAAAAATTCTGAAGTTTAGAACAGGTGCAGATATATGACCATGGCAAATTTGCATATAATCACTGTTTCTATCCTCATTAAAGATAAAAAACACATATTAGACAGAGTATTCATATTTTTACACACATAATTAGCAAAACTAGTAAAATTATGTGCTTCATATAAAGGGAGTATTCATATTTTTACACACATAATTAGTAAAATTATGTGCTTCATATAATGAAATATAAATGTTGTATTTGAATAACTATACACAGATTGAGAACCACAATATAAGTTCTGCATATCTAAGGGGACTGCATATCTTAAAATGTAGCCTCTCAAACAATATGGCAAATAGCTTTTGTTTCCGAAGGCCAGTTTCTTAACAGACTGATACAAGGCATGCCTTAATAAACAATAAAGTATTTCAAGATTCATGTTAAGTTCAACTTAAAATAGGGAAACAACAGACTCACATTGTCATCAAGATGTGCTGCAACACGGCAGTGTTTAGGATCAACGTAGGTCTTTTGCATTAAAGGAGGCTCCTAAACTCCAGAAAAGTGTTGATGTAGGAAATGGTGGAAAAAAATTATTTACAAAGCCATAAAGTTCTAGACCTTAAATTAAAAAATGTGTTTGTAATGAATTTTACATGATACAATTAAAATAATTTAAACCCGGACTCATGCTCAAATACTTAATTGAAACTAAGGACTAATAACACCACAAATTAAGATATTGTGAATATTTAAACAGACAGATCAAATAAATAAATAAAGATGACAGAAAAGCTATCTTACTCTATATTCTGATTTGTTATCTCAATTAGTGACCTACAATATATTCTGAAAGCTATATTTATCAACTATGATGACAGAACAAGAATAACTAACTTAATTTCATAGAAAATTTAAGATAGAAGTATTTTATACTTCTAAAATGTTCTTACTCAAGGTTATTCTGAAGCACAAAACATTGTTTAGTTGGCATTTTCAGACTGCATTTTGTCCACTTTCAAAGGGAAATGCTCCTTGCTATATATGCTATTTCTGCTATACAAATGCACTTTGTGAAAAGTAACACTCTAATGAGTGAGATTACAGTCTTATCATTATGCAATACAAATGATGGCAGAAAGGAAAAGGGGAAGAGAAAAACTGGAATATTTTGATTTGTAAGTGGCATGCATCTTGCTTGATTTTATTTTAAATGCACACATCTTAAATTTAAACATTCTGCTTTTACATAGATGCATACATGTGTGGATAGGGAAGAAGTTGGGTTAGCAATGGAGAGGCTAAATGGAGTAAGTATATTTAATTCGAGGGTGGGGAGGGAGATTGATGAAAGCAAGGTCACAGGCAAAAATGGAGGGGAAAAAACCTTGCATCAAACATGCCCCATCCAGCATTTCTTGTGCATATACAGAATTCAATGGAAGCCAGGGCTACTTCATTTGTATCGATCAGCATGGAAGTGCTCGCACCTGAGGCACTAAACCCACAGTATTTTACTAATACTGAAGTGAATAGGGCAGCCTCTGCATAGGCAGAAAATCATATGTGCACTGAAGCCAAATAAGTGGAAATGCAGTAGAAAGTGATGGTGGGAGGTCATGTTCATATAAATCCTTATTTTTTGGTAATTTAGTAAGGTCTACAAAGGCAGCAATATTTGAGACTGGAGCAAAGACTACTGAGACTGTTCTGAAATTCTGTGACAAAGGATAAGAAGTCTGAACCTGCAGGGTATGTATATTTGGTAATCACCAACCCTAAAATAGTGGACATCAGCATCAGAGGTTTTCTACAGTTTTGGGGGGAAAAATCTACCTCATTACATGGCACAATCATTCCTGCTGCAGTCTTAGAAAAGCAAAAGAAAAGAATATAAGAATGTATACTAGCTATAAAAAAATGGCCTAAGGTTGTCAAACACTTAGTGTAAGAGAACATATGAATACACACACGCACACACAAACACAAAGAGACTGAAGTCAACACCTACTACAGCATAACCTTTTTAATTCTGAGACAAATTTCTACCACTTCCTAATTGCAAATCCTGCTGGATTAAATGCAGCAACAGCAAATTAACAAATGAAATTCTAGAAGAACAATAACCAGAATAAAATAGGTTTGGAATGATTCCAGCTTCCCACTTGATATTGAAATTGCACAAAGGAACCACTAGAATCTTGGAATTATATGACTTTTATCTAAGGAAATTCTTTTACAGATGTAATAGCATATGATGGGTCTTTTTGAGTGCTTTAATAATTACCCACACTTCAACTGTTATTATCTAGTATTGCATGTGGTTACCTGTGTAGTTGACACACAACAATTCTTATGCTAGTTTTCTCTTGCTTCCTCTCAACATTCTTTCCCTTCCCTAATCTTGCTCCTTCTTGCTTACCTGCATGAAGGCAGGTTTATAAATTCAAAGGGATCACATAGCCAATCATAAGGACATAATCTAATTAAAAGGATTTTTTCTTCCAGATAACTGTATACTACTCCATAGGATAGTTTTCTGATTTTTGAGGGGACAATTTTTTTTCTCTTTTTATAGCTCAAAGTACCATAGGATAGTTTTCTGATTTTTGAGGGGGCAATTTTTTTTCCTCTTTTTATAGCTCAAAGTATTTTTGGGGGGTGTGTGTGAGGAAAGTGCAAGTTTTTTTAAAAAATCAGGACATATACCTTCTGTTTTCCCTGCACCATTAGCTGACACATGACATCAAGCAGAATACAGAACATCACTCATCCAAAAGATTAGAGAGGCCAAGAAAGAGTGCTAAGTGCCTATGACAGATTTCTATATGATGAAAGCTACTGTCAGCAAGATGTTCTGTAACTTTACAGTGGGCTTTCCTAAATACTTTAAACCAGAATTTAGAATAAATTCAGTAAAGTGGTCTACAACTCTACTCTCTCCTTGGATAATCTGCTTTATTTTTAGCCTTCCAAATAAAACAAGCCAACACCATTAAAGTATTGCTGCCCAACACTGTCTACTCCATTCTTAGTAGTTTAAACGAGGCAGCCCAAAATGGAATAGATGATGTTGTGTATTACTTCAGTACATTCTTACCTTGAAAAATGATTGCTTTATATCTTGTCCCAGTCTTTCTGATATTTTGCCCATGTTGTCTGACATTTTAGTCATCCCCTCTGTGAAGCTGTCAGGAAAGGACTTGACAGCATTTGAAACATTTCTCATAGAGTTACGCAGTGGATTTACAAATGTGTCCATCTGAAGAGGAAAACATTTACCACGATTGCATAAATCTATGAGTTTATGACAGTCATCCAATAATGTGTGTTGAAAATCTCACACTGTTTTGGAAAGCAGGAATACAAAACCATTACTTCAAACTGTTTACTTTGCAAATCTCAGTCACAAAGCTAAGCACATTGTGTGTTTTATTTAAACACGCTGACAGTTGGAACTGAGAGGAAAATCATCCAAAGACTGACTCCTTATCTCCACCTAAACCAACACTTCGGAAAGCAAATTTCTCAGGACATAGGTTGCCTTTTATGTTACTATGCAAAATACTTCATTAAAGGCTGTTAAATAATATTAATGAAAGGGAGTCAAAGGATCCCTTACATGTGCATAAGATACCTCCACTAGTACAAGGGAATGCCTCAGATTCTCCCCCTCCTGCTTCAGCCTACACTGATCCAGAAGATCTCCATCTTGACTCTTAGGAGCAGGCATTGGTTTATTTGTTTGTTTTTAAGTGTAAGGGACTGCAACAGGAAATAAACAGGGAAAGAGGGGGAAGATAGCAAAAACTACTAGTCTATTAAAGTTTGCACATGAAGTACTGAGGATACTGAGAAGGATCTTAAAGTTGGCAAATGTTAATTTATGAAACATTATTTTATTCTTAAAGGCCAAAATAAAGTACAGTTAATAGAAAACTATTACCATTTTAGTAGTGAATGTTTAATAGTATTCCAATAATAGTTTAAACTACAGTGGTGCCTCGCTTAGCGAGGTTAATCCGTTCCGGATTAACCCTCGCTCAGCGAATCCATCGTTAAGTGAAACAAAAAAGCCCATAGGAACATATTAAAACTGATTTAATACGTTCCTATGGACTTAAAACGCACCGTTCTGTGAGTTTTCTCCATTGCAGCGGCCATTTTGGATGCCTCGTTAGCGAGGCAAAACAGCGGTCGCCATTTTGTTTTAGCGGCGGCCATTTTGGAACCGCCGATCAGCTGTTCGCTATGCTTTGATCGCGTCCGCGCGATCATCGCATAGCGAAAAAAGCCCATAGGGGCCATCGCTGAGCGAACGCTCCAGCGATGGCCCGGGACCCATCGTTGTGCGGTTTCATCGCATAGCGAAGCGTTCGCTATGCGAGGCACCACTGTATTATGCTTTTAATACTACAGCTTCTCAAGGAGCACTGCTGTTCAAGATAGCAGCAGTGAATAACACTATTACAATTATAACGTGGCCATCAATAAAACTAACCTACAGCCTGACTGTAGTGAATGGTCCTGGCCTCACCTGCCCGTCACCGCAGATCATTGACGCAGGAGCCAATGAGTGAACAGAAGGTGGAGCCAGGGGGAGGGAGCAGGATAAAAAGACTGGTGGATGGAGTCTGAGAGAGACTGTGTGTAGATAAAAAGTGACTGAAGAGTGAGTTAGAGATCTGTAAGAGTGTAAATTGAAGCAGAGTGTTAAAAGAGTTTTGAAGTTATATCCGATCCAAATCAACTATAAGTGATTGGCAGCCTGTAATTTATCCTATGAATACTTATTGTTTATTAACTTTCCGGATTAAATAAAATACTTAAATTTTTAACAGCACACTTGCCTCCATACTCAATTGATATTAGAGCATTAATATCTGGTGGCAGCGAAGAAGAAAGAATAGCGAGAACCTCGTGAAGGCCTGGGGGAGATAGGGACTTCAGAGGAGATTGTGACAAAGTGATGTCCAGTGACGGGATCAAATTTAATCCAGTGACGCCTAAGAACAGAAAGGTTCCCAGAGTGGAAAAATGTACTTTAGTCAGGGGATCTGAAGTGGACAGAGTGGGTAAATCCCTAGAGCTTTTCAGGGTGAAAAGCTTAGTGGGGAAACTCCTAAACTCAGATCGGGGGACTAAGGTAGGAATAGGCTCTGAGGAAACCATTTCTGGAAAAAGTTTACCTCAAGCAGGAAAAGGACCAGTTGACTAGCTTGTCCTGAGCTCAAAGGAGACAGCTTTGAGGGGACAAAGCGGAGGCCAAGGTCAGAGAAGCTGAGGTGTTTCAAAACAGCAAAAGCTGGAACTGGTTAAAGCTAATATTTCTGTTTATTTTGGTGGCTAGAAGCAGGGAGAAACTTTGTCTCGTGCCAAAGGCCTGGTTGGGAGCCAGAGATCTAAACAGAGTATTTTAACAGTGAATGCTAGCAGGGAAGCAACTATATTACAGAGAGTCTAACTCACTGGGAAAAAGTGTTCCTTTTAAATCTGAGGCTTGTAAATTAAACCAGAAGCTTAAATAAATAAATATGCCTTCCACAGGGGGGAAAAAGGCGGCAGAGTTGTCTCCTGAGGTTTCAGATGCCTCAGATCAGGAGGGGGAAGGAACTCAAGGAGTAATTAGAGGGGGAAATGGAAACCTCAAGGGGGAAAGACTCTATAGAATTCAGAAAATGGAAATTAGAGAAGGAACAGGAATTCCAGCTAAAACAGCTAGAAATTAAAGCTAGAGCTGAGGAAAGACAGCGAGATATAGAGATGGAGAAGATGGCTCTGGAAAAGGAAAGGATGTCATTTGAACTAAGGAGGTTGGAGCTGACAGCCAAGACTAATAATAATAATAATTCTGCTTCTGAAGAAAGACATTTGTCAAGGCAGACCTTAAAAGATTCCCCTGTCTTAGAAAGGGTGATGATCCTGAATCTTTTATTATTTTATTTTGAGTGTGCGTGTGAAGATTTTGAAGTGAGGGGATCAGAACGTACAGTATGATTGTGATGAGGTCCCAAATAAGTGGCGAGTTAGCAGATATATACACCCAGATGCCATTGGATTTAGAGAGGGATTTTGAAGAATTCAAAAAGTTGGTATTCTCGTAGTTTGGCATCAATGCTGAGCATTTAAGACAGAAGTTCAGAGCCCTGACAAAAAAACCCTGAAGAATCCTATTCTCAACTAGGGGCAAACTTGACCAAATATCTTGACAAATGGCTTCAACAGAAAAGAGGTGAAACTGTACAAGATATTAGGATCATCATGGGGCTAGAGCAGTTCTATTCACTTCTACCTGGAGACCTGAGGTACCTAGTGTGGGATAAAAAGTCCAAAGACGTTAAAGAAGCTGGAGGGGGTTGCAGATTTTATTTCACATATTCAAAACCCAAGTTTTTCTGAGGTAAAAGTGGGAAGGAAAACTGGGATGACAGTAAAAAAGATCCCAAAGGTTAACTCAAGAACCAACAGGCAGGTGGCAGCCATTTTGTAGGCAAGCCCACAGAACTGAGCCAGCCTAAATACAAGAACTAGGAAGGGGAGGGAGATAAAAGCCTTGGATCTTGTTTCAGATGTGGAGAGAAAGGCCATTTCATTTTACAATGTGCTAAAGCTAAAGGGGGATGGGGCAAAAGGCAATTTGCTCAAGCCTAAATCAGTGTACTATGATTTTCAAAACAAAGTTACCTCAGAGAAGGGCAAAACAGTAACGCCTAATACAAGTACAGCTAGGGCAGAGAGTCATGAACAGCAAGCAGAACAACTGCCTGAAGCTGAGATCCTCCATTGCGATCTAACTGAAACCAACCAGGAGCTTTTTAAAAGTTCTGGAGATAGCCTTTATGTAAATGAGATGAAATTTATGGCTCTGAAAGACTCGTGCTCTCAAGTTACTTTGTGCCATCCAGACATAATCCCACCAGAGTACATATTGAAAGGTGAAAGCCTGACAGTTAAGGGGGTAGAGTCAGAAATAATTACCCTGCCAGTGGCTGAGGTACCTATAAGATATCAAGGGAGGAAAGGAATATGGAGAACAGGCATAGCTGATCAATTGTTTGCGCCCTGTTCAATAGGGATCGATCTCACTGAGCATGTTAAGGGGGGGCATGCTGGCACCTTGTTGGCTCATCCTCGACTTCAGAGGAGATCGTGACATTGACATCATACATTTGCCTCTCACATTGGTCAAAAATTCTGGGACATGACAGGCTACCATATTGTGTCATATTATCACAATAAAAGTAGTTTCTACTATGTATCATAAACAGAACAAAAACAATGTGGGCATCTTGCTTTTTGTGAGAGTCCAATGTTTATCATAATGTATTATTCCACTTTTTTAAACCTACATAATGCTAGTTAGTCAAGAGTTTGACTAGGAAACTCCTGTTTCCTTTGTTTCCATGTTTACACAAAAAACAGTGCTTCTTTTGACATAAACACTTTCCTTTATGTTTACATTTTACTATTTAGTAAGAAATACGGCATGTCATTCCTGCCCTGATAGCATTTTTGTTCAAGTATGAAAATGAGTTCTATGTGGGGCTGACTTCAACGCTTGTTTGGAACCTACAACTGGTACAAAATACAGGTGCTGCATTGCCAATTAGTTTTTGTACTATGCTAATATTTTGATAACTCCAATCACCATCAGGAAATATCTTCAAACTATTATAAGTGCTGGCTAAAATTCTGTTACATTGTTACACTGGCATGAGGGAAATGGTGTAACATGCAACCACAAAGGCTGTTAATTAACAAATTCCTGATTAGACTCCTGGCTGCATGCCAAGACAATAGACTGGTATGCAATGAGCTATCCAAGCAATAATTCATTAATTAGTGGCAAGTTGTGCCTTTTCTCTTATGCTAATATAACTACCCAATTGGATTTTGGCCCTAAAATCCTATATAACCTGGGACCAGGAATTTGAAAAACAATTTCTTTTCATTGTTCTCAAATCTCCCAACCGTTAAGAGTTTTTTCATGAGCTTCAACCTGGCTGAGTGATTTTATCTACTCATGGTATCTTCTTGTGGTGAAAAATGATTAGGAAGGCTATTTGTGATCATAGCATTTCACCTATGGAACACCCTTCTTCTGCTTATCTGCCAGAAGAAAAAACACTGCTGATTTCCCTAGGTTTAATGGGGTTTGATGCTTGCTGCTACTGATTATTTCTAACTATTAATTTTGTTGTGGTCTTACCAATGTTTTTGAGTTCTTATATAGTTAACTACACAAGATGTCCTTGGAAATAAATAAAATCACTGTCTCCTCATCTATTTGATATTTGTGAAGTTCCTACAATGGATTTCCTGGTAGGGGTCATAGACAGAAATTTGTTTCACAAACAATTGCATACTTGGATTTAAAATCTGCCTGTTGTATGTGGCAGAAAAGACAGTTTTGAAAAGACAGTATACTTAAGAGCTTGAAAATCTTCAAGACTTTCTAGGGAAAACTGTCTTCTTCTGTGCCAAGCAGGAAAACCATACCTTGTGGAATGGCAGAGAAACAATCAGAGAGGAAATGCACACTTACCATATCATAGTTAGATGCTAATTTGATTGCTTTATTCAAGAAAAGAATTCCAGAACAACCAAATTATTCAGTTTTGGGCTACTGATCAATTTTAGACACACCTATTTTAGTACAAACTCAAATTACATGCTTGAATAATATCACCACGATATGTACCTAACTGTTAAAAAGGAATGTCAAGACAAAATGGACAATTGTACACGCAGAGATCTGCAAAGGAAATATTCTGAACAAGTTTTGATGAAGCCCTCCCTGTCTCCAAATGTTTTGTGCTTTGTTCTCCTGGTTCTTTGATATGAAAAAGCCTCAAAATGCACTCTTAGAGGTAGACATGCATTCTCTTTTTGAGCAGGTGAATGGAGGTCATGAAGCATATGGTGCCTGAAATGGGCAGAGGATTGTAGGGTAGATAAAAAGGAAGGATTTGTTTTCAAAATGCTAGAATCATTTTAGCATCAATAGCAGCTTCAGAAATGTATTTTAGACCTTTTGTATTGCAAAGGAGTCAATGCTGATAGTTTAGTTTCTTTGGCAAAAAGATACATGCTGCTGTTTCCAAATGTTGTCATTATTCAAACTCATTATACCAAGTGACTATTTGTGCATTAATTATGTAACACGACTTAAACAACATTACTTGCAAATACCAGTATATATAAAACAGTTGTATTGCATCAATTGCCAAGGCCTGCTAGACAGCAGATACAATTCTTACCTTCCGAGCAAAATCTCCCTTCCCTTTGCTGTAAGCTTTGTTTTCCAAGAAGTCATACACATAGTGTGCTAAAGCTGGATAAGCTTTCATCACTTCAGGAGCTAGCAAAAGCTGAGAAGTAAGAGATGCAAGTGAGTTCACTTACCATTCAGGAAGAATGTTATTTTTGGTAAATCATTTTAAAACATTATATTAACACAGTGCAGCTAAAATTATATGAGAAATCGTAATCAACTTATAATGCTGCTGCTCATCTCAACTACTACTGTTATTAGCTCTTCTATTTAATAGCTAGAATCCAAATGAAAAATTACATTGGCAAAGCTATCAACTTTACTGAACTATGAACATCACTGCACTTTTCAAGAGAGCAAATGGTGAGGAGCATGAGGAAATAGGCATTATTAATGAAAAACTTGAATATGAACCCATACCTGCAAATATGCATTCAAATCCTTCTTCCTTTTTTCCAAAAAATCCTTATCCATATTATTGAATGTTTTTTTACCCGGAAGTTTCAACAGATTTGCTAGATTTTCAAACTATAAAAACAGGTAAATAGTTATTTTAAAAAAAAAATCACTATACAACATTTATAGCTGAATTGCCATTTGTCCACTTGACAAGAAATTTCTGGGCCACTGCAGATATAACCCTTTCTAAGGCGGCAATTCTATATTTGGTGAATCAAACTTCCAGCCTCTGGCTCATATACCTAAACCACTGAGTTATCCATCCAGGCTTGGGAAGTTTCTACACACAGAAAAACAAATGACACAAAAAAGACTTCTAACCCAGAATCCTGCTCAGCATGCTCTTTTCCCATACTGTACATGGAACAAACTTTTTGTGTGCAGGGACATTTCTCTGAAACTACACATTCAATTCTGAATCAACATTGGCCCAAATCCTGCTGAATGAAAATGGCATAACTCACAACAGCAAGTTGCTAATAATTAAGAATGGATTCCTCATTGTATACCAGTTGGATGGTTTAGTGTATAGAATCCACATGGGTACTCATTCAACAGCAGCAATTTGCCACTGTAAATTCCTTCAGCATACCTAAGCAACAGGATTTTGGCCACTGTCAAGAAACACTTCTTGTTCTCCACTGTTTATGAGAAATGGGCCTTCAACTTCTGCCAGATCATCAGCACAAGGAAAGTTGATCAAAACAGAGTTTAAATATGATCTGAAGAGAATCCAGAGTATCTGGCTTCTCTTCAGATCGTATTTAAACTCTGTTTTGGCTCATTCTGTATATGGCCCATGATTCATCACAGTAATGGAAGATTTCTCTATGCATTTTAATTTCACACACTACCTGTTCAGTGATCCTCATATGGAAGTCATGGAAATCACTATAGCGACGATAAGTCTTCCATACTTCATCACCACCGGGAGTTCGACGGCGAACAGTGATGGCATATAGGGCGTACGTCTTGCCATGGTCGTTACAAACTCCTGCCACAGTATATGGGTCATAATCAGCATAGACTAGCAATTTAAAACAAAGAAATAAAGAGAAAAAAGAAACAAAGGAAGAAAGGAAAAAGACGAAAGGGCAGAAGAAACATGAAATGAAAAAACACTGGAAATGAGAGAAATGGAGACAGAATGGACATGCAAACCACCATTCAGTGTGAATGTGAAATTTCTGTGTAAAATTCTTCTGAGGTCTAGGATATTATATCCTACATTCGAAGGATACTTTTGTGTGAATTAGAACAATGAATTTAGTTTGTTGGCCACAGACCTGGATAACTTAAAGTTACCAATAGCCCTATGAACAGATACAGCAGTTGCTGAGGAGGGCAAGTGCTCAGCATTAGAGATAGGCATGAACTGCCAGTTCAGCAACTGGTGCTGGTTTCGCCCTCCAGTTGCATAGCTGTTCTGCGGGCACCATAGCTTCCCAGCTCCTGTTCCTCTGGTGAGCACTCACTCAGATACAGTGCAAAGCTGCATTGCTGCCTCTGAGTAGATGCCCACAGGAGAAGCCAGGGCTGGGAAGGCACGCCGCTGCCTCTGAGTGGGCACCTGCCAGAGGAGGCAGGTCTGAGAACCCGGGACACCCGCAGAACAGCTGTGCAGTCAAAGGGCCAAACCGGCATGAATTGCCAAACTGCAGTTCATGCGCATCTCTACTCAGCATGCAAAGAATCAATAAATGAAAAAATAAAAATGAAAAAAAAACTGCACACAGGCACTTTATGCCAATTCAAATACAGAGTAGGTTATGGCAGTGTAGAATGAAGCCATATGGAAATCATTTCATTAATAGCTGGAAGAGAGATTAGGTGAGAGAACAATCTCAAACCATCTATGTATCACTTATTTCCTGTGATGCTGGTGGCAGAACGTGGGCAGGTATTTGGAAAGCGGTAGTGTCAGGTGGTAAAACTACTAGAAATAGTAAGTTGATAATGTACTGCTTTAGTAAATTTGGAAAAAAATGTCATCCTGTGCAAGAACTGTAACAATACTGTCAGATAAGAGTTTCTTCTGAAAAAACCTTCAGAAACATATTTTAGGGTTGTTGTTTTTCTGCTGTTGAGACAAAAAGGTTACAAGATTCACATCTCTATAACTGAGTACCTCAGTGGTGCCTCAACTTACGAACGTCCCGACATACGACCATTTCGAGTTGCGACCACTCCGGCTGCAAAACTTTTCTTTGACCTGCAGCCGGAGCTTCAAGTTGCAAACAAAAGAGGCAGGGAAAAAAGGCGGGGAATTCAAATTAGAGGGCTAACCATTGGTTGGTGAAGAGCTTCTTTGTAGCTCTTTCGCACCATCGGTTAGTGTGTGTGTGTTTGCAGAGAGGCTTCGGACTGTCTGGTGCTGCTTTCTGCTTCTGGGTGAGAAGGGTTTTACAGGGTGAGTTTGGGGGGGCTTATGTTTCTGTGCTGGTTTTGTTTTGTTTTTTGGTGTGTATTTGTTCCCAGCCCCATCGTGTTCCAATGGGGCTGGCTGTTTGTGTGTGTGCACATGTGTGTTTTTTTTGATTCCTCCCCCCAGCTCCATGGCATTCTGATGGGGCTGGCTCTGTGTGCGTGTGGTTTTTTGATTTTTTTCCCCAGCCCCATCGTGTTCTGATGGAGCTGGCTGTGTGTGTGTGCACGCGCGTGTGTTTTGATTTTTTTTTCCCCAACCCCATTGTGTTCCGATGGAGCTGGCTGTGTGTATGTGTGTGTGTGTGGGGGTGTTTCTGAATTTTCCCCTAGCCCCATGGCGTTCCAATGGGGCTTGGAGTGGGGTTTTTTTGTGATTTTTTTTTGTCTGGAATAGATTAATCATGTTCCAATGCAATCCTATGAGAAATAGTGCTTCGACTTACGACCATTTCTAGTTACACCTATCTTCTGGAATGGATTATGGTCGTAACTCGAGTCACCACTGTATAGCTTTTGGCCTATTCAGGCTTGAGTTCAACAAGCTACCTTCTGTCTGTAAAATCAAAATCAGGACTCGTTGTTGTTTCAACTTATATACCGCCCCATAGTGCTACATCACTCTCCGGACAGTTTAAAACAAAATTATGAAAGGAGCACTTTGCCCCCCATTGAGCTGGGTATTCATTTTACCTACCTTGGAAAGATGGAAGGTTGAATCAGCCTGGGGCTACCTGAACCTATCAGGGTCAAATTCAGGTCATGAGCAGAGGCTTGACTGCAGAACTGTGACATGGGGCTTGACTGCAGAAATGTGACATAGGGCTCATCTCTTGTGTTTATTATAAGCTAATTCTGGACAGGATACAGAACTCTCCTTCTCAGAACTTTCCTGCAGGAGTTTTAGATTTGGGCTAGTTTTAGCAGTTGAGAAAACTTTTTGTTTCATGCTCAAAACAATGGCTAAAGTCTCACATCTTTCTTTGATACCTAACTGTTGCATGGTTTGAATACCAGTGATAAGTCACTCGCTGTCTAAGAGAGGGTCCTTTTAAAATGGGCCTGCTATGTGTTATTTATTTATTTTAGAAATTTTTAAACTGTTTTTATTCACTAGTTTTTACTTTGATATCTGCTTAATTATTTTTTTAAAATATTTTAATAGTTTTGTTCAATTTTATAGCATTTGTTTTAATGATGCAAGCCACCTTGGGTCCTCTCAAGGAGAAAGGTGGGATTTAAATATTTTAAATATATAAAAACAAGATATCTGAACATGGTACAATATAAATCTTTGCTGGATGTAAGTGGAAAATGAAAACAACTAGGTATGAACAAATTAAATTATGATGTAAAACATAAATTTGCAGCAATTTGATAATGATGATGCTATTGTATGCTAAGTTAGAAATGTTATAGAAGTCTAAATAGTGTAATCAGTTTAGGAAAATGGTTACACCTAAACAACATTTCAGTAAATGTTGTTTACTTCAAAATACAAAGGCCAGGATCCAACAAGATATGAGGTCAGTATCCTTAGCCCAGGGGATCTACACACTTAAGTTACAGAAGCTGCAGCCCACCCTATATTGCCTGACAAATTGCTTTTGGAACTAAGAGAACTATGAGGCCAGATTTCAAGTGGGTGGGAAGCCAAAATCTATAGTGTTAGACCAAGTTTTTTTTTATAAGTGACCAGCTCTTCATAATTGGAATTTGTTAATTCTAGTAACTGAACCAAGCAAGAAAAACCAGGAAAGCAAGATTTCATGATGAAAGAAAAGACTTAGATTTAAGAGATATATAACTGCAGTGTTAGTCAAGAGTTTTGAGGAAAATTCACAATATATGTAAGTGATTTGTCCAAGCATCAAAAGGGAAAAAGAAGGTGTTACTCCTAAACTCACCGGTATCTGAAATATATGCATGTAGCTGTATGGACTCATCAGCAGGCACATTTGAAAGATCATCCAATGACTAGAGGAAAAACAACCATAATTACAGCTTCTGGTATAGAACTATGCAGATAGTCACATGATCAGCAAGAACAAATGAGTGCTTTATCAAGTCAGCAGTCCACTATATCCAGAAATTTAATTCTGAAAGTATCCAGCTGGATGGCTCCCCAAGTCCTAAGAATAACTTGAAGACAGTAAACATTTCCCATCTAGTACTAATGAGATATACTGCCCCAAAAGAGGCTATAAATAAAAATAAATAAATGCTAAACATTTTCCAAACACAATTTGTGTAGGTTCTGCTTTAATCAAAACAGGTCTACTTTCATGTAAGACCACGCCCCAAAGGAGCCGAGATGTTATGATAAGATCAAACTTCTCCTTGCTTTTTGTTCAATGATGGAAGAGATTCTACTGAACAATATAAAAATAGCTTGTTTTCTCTATCTCCATCAGACATACCCTGTAGTGAAAAGAATGTTACAAAGAGTCTTGTTTCACCATAAAGAGTGACAAATGTTAGATTTTAAATTGCCACAAAACTGTTGCTTTTTCTGGAACCGACTATGCCATCTATAATCTTGAAAAAGTACACCTACCAAGTTAATGCTCCCAGTAGGAGAACCATTAAATGATTCTGTGGAAAAAGGGGGAGAGCAGAACTGTTACTCCAAACAAAAAAAAGTTTAATAGTTAATCTATAAAGTATTAAACAAACAAGGCAATTATATTAACTGCCATAATGTATCAACCTTAAATTAGTATCAGATACAAAATATTACTAATAGTCTCTGTTTAACCTACCTATGGATTTTAGAAAGAAAGAAAGCCAGCCTGCCAGCCCGCCTGCCTGCCCTTGGTAAACTGTATGTATATTTAAATGCTTCTTGATATAAACAAAAACAGACTTTTCAAGAGATATTCTAAATTCAGCAGGTGCAACACTTAAACCTGCCATTCTATTCAACCGACTGATACTGTCTCTAAGAGTGAAACTCTGTGCCCACTACTCCCATGAAAAGGTCAAATGGTTGGGATAGACTTTGAAGTAGCTAGAACTGATTGCATGGGCAAGAACTAGCTAACTGTACATAGTGTATCAAAATTGCAACAAAAATGTATTTGATGGATTTACATATGAAATAGTGATAAATGAAGTGTGAAAGACTCAACTTCTGAGAGGTGCCTTTTAGGATACACCGTACTGCAACAGTCCGATTAGGGAACTACTATGCATAAGGATGTTTTTAGTTAAACTGGTCCCTCCTGACCAATTTATATCTACAGGTATTCACAATTAGAGCACTGTTATTATATTCATGACTTAAACTAATCAAATATGCATAGCTGAGTCAAAAGAATAATTTAAGTACTCTACAAAAGTTCACTAAAAAAGAGAACATTTCAGCTTTTCAGGATGCTCTTTTATGATCTTTAAAGTGGCTATTGAATGAAAATGGAACTACAAAGGAAGACGTGAGGAAACAGGAAAAATTAGCTATATAAACAAGCTCCAGTGCATCTCAAGGTTTCTACAGAGACCAAGATTAGCACACTACATGTACCAGCATTCTGTAATAAACTTTGACCTCTGTCCAAGAAACATCTTGCAGCATCCCTGTGACAGCCAAGTCAATTTATTACCATGGCCAAGATCTGCTAACTAAATTAACAGCCTGACAGTCCTACACCTGTAGTAACAAGGAATTGCCAGTTTGCCTATTCTGTATCCTTAGCCAGTCATGGGAATGTGTATATACAGTGGACAACTATTTATATTCCTGTGTCTAAGGAAGTGGATTTTGACCGGTGAGAGCTTACACTGAGATAAAACTGTTAGTTTTTAAAGTGCAACATTTTGCTTTCTTTCCTCTTTACTTTTGCCAATAAAAAGTGTGAAAATCTTTGCAGCCAAAATACAATCCTATACTGCAAACCACATCAGCCACATTGGTCCAAATTAGATCAGAACAAACAAAGCATTAGTGTTAATACAATTAGTACTAGGTACTCTAGCCTGCCATACCTTACAATTTAACACTCATCCACGAGCATTACTAAACCTATACCACTAGGAGGCAGCAAAGGACTCCTGCACAGAAATCTGCAAATATGCAGCAGGACCATATTTGATAACTGATAAAATCAGTAGATATGTAAAACAACATTTGATAATTAACAAACATGGTAACAGCACCTATCTAACCTTTCAAAATCCAGGAAAAGAAAGACTGTTAATCTATAGAAGATCATCCACATTTCTCTAAAACAGCACAATGCACAAGTGTAGATCTCAGTGACTCCATACAGAGCACGCTACCATAGTCTTAATGCCTACAACAACAGATTTCAGTGCTTACACTAGCCACAGAAAGTGTGAGATGTTTTGGCAAATGAGACAAGTGGCAAGGGTATTAGCTGCTGCTGAAGGTTGGAACTTGTAGCTCTAGCACCCAGCACTGGCTGAAACCTGCACTCTCCTTGCTTCTAATTTGAACATGAAGGAAAAGCGGGGGTAGGAGGACTTGCAGACAGTTGCTGGTGCTTGGAACTCACCCTCATACCTGCTCCTGCTTTTTGCAGGCATAGGCTAAAAACATTTACTCCCTGCTTCTCTTTTTTTCAACAGATTAGGGCAGAGGTATCCAAACTATGGCCCACGGGCCACATCTAGCCCGCCTTGCCTTTTTATCCAGTCCAGCCATAGGAAGAGGAGGGAAGAGGGACACAAGTGACTTCCTAACACCCCCCCCCCACTGTCTTTGTAAAGGCAGCAGGGGTGGGGGATCGCTTCTGTTAGGCTTCACTCCTCTTCCTATTTCCACCTAATTTTAGTCTGAGAAAAATGAGATCATGACCACTTGCAAGCCTGATTTATGTAAACGCTCTAACTAAATCTGACATTAATTTTACTTACAAAAAGTGCTGGATTTATCAGAAAGTAAAAAAATTACAACATTTATGTATCTTTGTGGTATTTACATATTATGATCAGTAAATGAATAAAAATGAAGTTTTCAATTCAACTCCTAATGCTTAATTCTGTTGTAAACACAAGTAAGGATGGACAGGTTATTTACCTGTAACTGAAGCTCTTTGAGCAATCACTTGTGAATTCACACGTGGGTTCTTTCTGTGCCTGTGTAAAAAATCCATTAAGCTGTCTCCCTTCATTGTCTATGCTCCTCTACCCTGGAGTGAATCCTCAGTTCCCCCAGTCTGCTACTGACAGTAAAGGAAGTAATTTGTGGGACAATAAGGGAAAGATGGGTGGGTTATATGAATAGCAATCTGGTCTCCTTTTTTTCTTTTCTTTTTTGAGAACTGGTAGGATTGTCTCTAGTGTCACCATTCTGAACTTACTGTTATCTATATTATGAGTTTACATCCCTCAGGTCCAAAATTGACTTCAAACCTCCATCTTGAGCACTGTTGAAGTAACGGGAATAGAATTCATTTTCCAGTAACTCCAACGGAACCATCTGAATTGCATCTTTCTGGAGGAGTATGGCTATTTCGTTCTCTAGAACCTGAGACAGTGGTGTAAGTCTGAAGAGATCCATAGGCAGGAGAATAGTAAACTCTATTGCACAGCCATACTTGACTATGGCCAAGATCCATTTGTTATTGATAATAGTGTGCCAGGTAGTTCAACTGTATCACTAGAGGTATAATGTTGCTTTGTGAAGGGAAAGTCAAAACGCCGAGGATCCTGGAAGGAAAGAAGTCAAATCTGTGGATTTCTTTCTCATTTTTTGTTGAGGACGACATCAACTTGGACACCAATGTGGATCTTAATATCAAGTGTAGATATTTGTTCTGGCTGCATTTTATGAGAAGCTGGGTCATCTTGAGATCTAGCCAAAATGACCTCCATAATAATTTGCTTAGGTAAAGCTTTAGATATAGCAAGGGCAGAGATTGAGGACATTCTTTGTTTGAAAATGCTGTCTACAGCTTGCAGTCATTTCTCCCACAAAAACATTTTGGTTGAGATTGATGATTTTTCAAGGCAACTTTAGTGAATTTGTTGCAAATCTGGCAATTCTGTGTCTGATGCCCTCACTCAAACCATATAGGCACTTTGAGTGTCCATTGTGAAGAGTATCTTGTTCATGAAAGTGACACACTTCTTAAAAGGGCCTGCAGGGGCTATAAAAAGTGGAAAGTTCTTGAACACTTACTACTATTATTTTCTTTCTTTCTAACGTTTTTACGGAGACTCACGACACCAAAGACAACGAAGGGCAGGAAGAAATGAATGATGACATATAAGAACTACGTATTTACAAGAACATTCAGTTTTTCAGATGTGAAGACTCCAGAGAAACATTCAAATACTGCAACTGATGTGATGGCTGAAAGGGAACAGAGGATTTAAAGCACGGTGAGAGAGCATGGGCAGTGCAAGGAGTCAGTTTAACAGATTTTTTAGGCTCTGGGATGTTCCAAGGGAGTTTTGAGTTGGCACAGAAAGAACCCACATGTGTGATTCACAAAGATCACAAAGAAGAACCTAAAAGACATATGGAAACCACATACAGGTTAAACGATTCCTTTCCCTTCAGACCTATCAACGCTAGGCATCTTTTGAATGCACTTTATTGGGTCTCTTTCAGAAACTAGAGCCAAGGGACTAATGAACAGGGAGTTTAACATGATCTTTTGTTGCACTTTATTGTAGTCCTTCTACTCTTTTTTGAATCCTGAATTTATGAGATGTAACAGGGTGAGCATTTAAAGTGGTAGAACATTCGTAAGTTCTAATTTGATGTAAAATAATGCTTTAATTAATACCAGAAATCTGAAGTCAACTTACCTCCTTCACCATCATCTGATCCTCTGAAACTAGGATCCTTTAGCATATCTAGTTCAGCAAGCATTCGCACATAAAGTGCATGCTGTTTGAACGAAGGATAGAATCTTTCATCCCGCAGCATTAAATCGTATACCTAAGGAAATTAAAGTTCAATAGTAATCAAACTGTATGATCAGTCAGGTTCAACTATCAGGTATCTCCTAAAAATGTGGTAGGGTAATCCATGCCTTTTAATGCCTTACTATATTGAACATTAAGCTCCCCTGATTCTGAATGCTATTATTCTGTTTGAGAATGTAGCTTTGTGATAACATGCATGAGCGATAGTGCATATCATGCCCATCCCTCCCTTTTCTTCATCCTTTATGAGTGATTCAAAGTTTTCACTTGTGATTTGTTCTGAATCTCAGCTTCTCAAGTCATCCAAATCAGTTACTTAACTAATTCATGTATGTCTCCATACAACCAATATTTGAATTAGGCTGAGATTCCCATACCACTAACATAGCGATATCTGTGTATATTATTTCCTCTCATTATCTCTCAACTCCTAAACTACTACATTAAACTTTGTCTAATGGATTCTGCTTCACAAAATTAATGTTAGCTGCCATGTTAAACTCAGCGCAAGCTTAAAATGGCACCAGAATTTTGAAGAAGGAAGAAAAGGAAAAGAGAACCAGTACTGGCAGACTGATGAGCAAACTATGAGAGTTACACATAATGGAAATCATGTAAGTTTTTTCTAGGAAAATGAGAAATAAAAACAGGAAAAAAATCACTTCTAACCTAACAGCTTCTACCAGCATATATGAAATATATAGTGAATATGTCATACCTTCCTCTGAATCTCATCAAAGATTTCAGGGGTTGGGTCCTCATTGTTCAGTTTTTCTGCCAGTTTTGCTACCAAGGTATCATCAATATTAACTCTCGGAGATGCCTGCCATAGAAAGTTAAATAAACTTTATGCACTGTTCGAAATTATTTTAATGCCACCCACTGGGAACAATTTAAGCTCAGTCATTATTGCAGGGAAAATAAAGCTAGAGATAGAAACATTATTAATTATTAAGTGTGCTCCTGTTATTGTAATCAAAACAAACAACCCTCAGTTCAATTATAAAACGGGTACACAAGAGCACTCAATTATCTATTGTTTCATTTTCAATGAATGAAAGAAATTTAGTTCCAATGGTATACAGTAATATTATTTTGAGTAAATATATGAAGTACCCATGCACTGTCATTTCTTTTCAGCAGAAATTTAAAAAAACGAAGAGAAATGTCACGATGACCTTTGCCATATGCTTGGAATTAACAAATTCAAACTAAGTAGAGCAGAAAAAAGTGAAAAATACATCAAAATTTAGGGTGTTCCAGCCATTATCCTTTCTTTTTGTCATGGTCTTTTAATATTTAAACACCAGCTCAATGTTCAGTAAGTCGATTCAAAGATTCCTGTGTAACCCAGGTTGAATTTATTTTATGAAGTGCTTCTCCTGCAAGCTAGCTCTAAGGTCTAAATCCAATTGTTAGTTTCAAGATGGCCTGTTGAAACAAAGGAACTTACATAAATATCGATTTACTACATTTTCACAGATTCATTGGGTCTCCTCTTGTTGGAACTGACAACTGGACCAGGGCTCAACATTTTGACTCTCATACAACAGTGGAAATGTTCACATTCCTGATACTTCAGACATATTTTAAGTGAGATTTCTTGTGCTATGCATTTTCCAACTGGTACTGTCAGCTTATCTCTTTGGCAGCTCTCCATCTGTAGGTTTAACATAGGTTAACACTGCAACAGCTTACACGTAGCTGACAGTGGCTCTCCCTCCTTCTCCAATTCTGAAGTTACTTTGCAATTCACTTTCAGAAGTATGTTTCAATTCATATGGAGCTTCCTTTTTTCTGAAACCCATTATTACCTTTTCTGACAAATACTGATCATAAATCCCAACTGCAGCTGTTCTTAACAGGCCTTTGGTTTGTGCTGTCTGATGCATTCCATCTTTCTGAAGGCTCAATAGCACTTCCAGCTGCTTCTGTGCTGTAACCCTGTATCCTTCAACCGTCATCCAGAAAAAGAGATGCGCTTGGCCTCCCATCTGCTGCATGTAATCTAAAGAATAAAATAAATCCCACTGCACTATTATTTTAAAAATCCAAAGAATTAATGTAGTAGATTTACAACAGTAGAAAAATAGTACTGATTCTGATTTTAAATTTAGTTGGACCAAGTTTAAAGATTAAAGCAGGTGCAATACAAGCACAACAGTTTGAATTCTTTACTGTGGCAATCACACACAGTAGCTAAGAGAAAAGACTCCAAGAGCCTATCCATGAACAACAAATCATCATAGTCAAGAAAATGTTTAAACTAAGCTGGCAAGAGATGCTGCTTTTTTAAGGAAAGCAATAATAGCATCATTGTCAGAGAGTACTAAATGTGCAATACTGTAAATTAATTTTAGCATTTTAATATTATAGTTGAATTCTACTTATATTTTATATATGTCTATAGTTTGAAATTGATAAGAATGAATAAATAAATAGTGAATTACTATGGTCATTTGAAGAGTATTTTTAATTTCCTGCAATAAATAAAGAATAGAAAATAATAATTTGTTGGGAGAGAGGACAGAGTGGTTCTAAAACCAGAACCTACGGCATTAGGAGGGAATTCATTCCGTATATCACCACAAAATTTGAGCCAATGGAGAGAGTTGTAGAACAGGATTATAAACCAGCAAGCAAAGTTCAATAGATAGTTCAACAGATGTTCTGGCAATACAGAGTAGACTTCGGTCTAGATGGGCAGGATATTAAACAAACACACACACACACACACACACACACAAATATATCATTCTGAACAACAAGGTGATTCTACTGCTACTTCATCTTTCATTTACTCCCTCACCCACAACCACTCCACTTTACTCCTAAGCCCTTGTTCTCCTGACTTATCAGATGCAGGATATGGCACCATTTTAGTGGAGAAAGTAAATCTGAATCAAACAGATCATTAATGTATCCTTCCAAGCTAAAAGAATATATACAGAATTGAAGACTTTAGTCTTCTGAAGATACATCAAGTCTTTAAAAATTAAGAAAGGCATTTCTGTGAGGAATCCTGCTACCTGCAAATTATAGCTAAAAATAGTTGGACAGATAGTAACTTGTACCATTGTAAGGCAGCACTGTCCTCCATACCACTTAAGCCTAAAAATTCAATGTGATATGTGTTGATTGTATGCCAGTGTACATTTATATCATAAGAGAGGCTTGTGATGAAATAATCAGGGCACCAAAATAAGTTATCATCCTTTATTCTTTAATCCATGCATGTTTATTGCATTCCATGAAGATACTCCATAATATTAAGCACACAAAACATTTTTAACTGCTGTTTTCTTACCCATAAAAAATTGTAGTGCAACATTGTTTACTAAAATGATGTCCAGAGGGACTGTGCAAAGTTTTCCAAAGTTTGCAGCCAGTTTCACAGTATCTATTTCCTGCACAAAGATGACAGAGCATTAATAAGTTTAAATCAATATAATCACAACATTAAGAGAATTTTAGGAGTAATATGCATATCTTTTGTATCAATAAGCCAAACCATTAAGCATTCTTGCTACCCAAGAGACTTTTGGCTAAGTAAAACTTGGAAAGAAAACTGATAACAATAACTACTACCAATCATGATAGTTATATACATATAGTGGACATAAGAAAGATCTGGAGCTCTATGAGATTTGCAGAAGATCCAGAGCATGGACAGTTACTTTCTGGACTACTACTTCCATAATCATCCAATCAGCATGGCCATTTTAGATGACAAGAAGTCACAGCAAATAAGTGCATATTCGTTATGCAACTGGGCATCTGAAGATGGTACTGAAGAAAAGTAGTTCTGTTAAACACCAGGTTCTATCTGATGTGATTATTGCCATAATAAGTGAACTAAAGCATACTTTCCAAGAGCTTGTAGAGGCTTCTCAGAAGAAGTCACAGATGTGGTCTTATTGGATTTGCCTCTTGATATTATTGTACTACTGCAAAGAATTCAGTGGGAAGAGAAGCAGACCTACATAATACTAAAAATTGGGCCAGGAAGGAGTAAGGTCTGATCCTAATTATCAGTCTGGGGCATCATAGTGCTATTGCTCTTACTAATGTGAGAGGTGACTGAAGCCAAATGGGCAAGTTCATGAAACCTCATGGCTATCCAGTTGCATGTACAACATAAGTATTTTGAGGGTAAAGTGCATGAATACACAAAGCTACAATATATTTTGTATATCTTATACTTGCCATTACTGGATTTGTAAAATGTGTTGTTAAAGATTAACCTAAGTATACATGCGTATTTCTAATATATTCCAGCTGAGAAAACACTTACTTTTCCTGACTGCAGCCTTAGTATTCTTGAATCACATACTTTCTTCACAAATAATAAACTATTTATTTGATTTTTTATATTGTTGATATCTGAAAATAAACATACAGTACTAGGAAGTTATACTGATTTAAATATTTAGAACAGATGGTACAAATACGTGCAAGATATTGAATTCTTTTCTGCTTTCTTTCAAGAGATTTCAGCAAAATGTAGACACAAATGAAGCTATGCAAAAAAGGCAATATATTCTCTCATGCTGTGACCCAACCATGAAAAAACAGAATTTTAAAGTGGTGTACAGAAGTCATGATTTAGAACTCAGCTATTTCATGAAAACTACGGTCTTTCCCGATGTAAAGACAGCCTTGCATGTATATGGACTCTGGACATGGCCAGAGGCAGATGACACAGCCATTTTCCAGAATCTATGTAGGTTTGGGTCTTGTCAGTGCCTGGAAGCCCCATGTAGGTCACCTGAAACTCCATGATGAAAGAAAGGAATATAAATTAATAGAACAAATATAAGAATTAAAGGTCGCAGTTGAAACTACGGGTACAGAAAGATTTACATAACAGATAGATAAACATTTAGGTCATTAGTGGAAATCTGAAACTTATCCACATTAATACTTTCAGAAGTCAACAAATTTTAGAAGTGTTTCAATCAGTTCAATAGTCTTACCAATTAAAAATGGCAGGACTATTGATATCTTGCTTCCTCACATCACTCCTCTGTCTGCTTCCTGCATTACTAAGTAATTACTTCTAAACAAGTTAACTTGGCTATAGGTTATGATCACACATTACAAAGAGATAGAGCATATAACCTAGCCCATATAAAGGCACTAGGTAAAGGTAAAGGTTGCACTTGACATTTAGACCAGTTGTGTCCAACTCTAGAGCGCAGTGCTCATCCCTGTTTCCAAGCCATAGAGTCAGCATTTGTCCAAAGACAGTTTTCGTGGTCACGTGGCCAGTGCGACTAGACACGGAATGCCGTTACCTTCCCACTGAGGTGGTACCTACTTATCTACTTGCATTTTTACATGCTTTCGAACTGCTAGGTTGGCAAGTGACGGGAGCTCACTCCGTCATGTGGACTAGATTTTACGACTGCTGGTCTTCTGACTTTGCAGCACAGAGGCTTCTGCGATTTAACCCGCAGTGCCACCACGTCCCTCATATAAAGGCACTAGGGAGGTCTGTATTACAAGAATACTGAAAATATGAATGACAATGAATAGACTCTTCTTCCAGCTGGACAGAAGTTCCAAAATCTTTTTATAATATTTTATTCAGTAGCTACTCCTAAATTATGAAAGCCATTGTCCTCTCCAGCCCAGCAGTAACAATGGCTTGGACTCAAGCTACTGAGGTCCTAAAATCAGTCACAAATGAACTCAGTAGTGGCTTTGTATATATAACCAGCAGCCTCAGCCAGCTCTTGAGAACAGCTGTCCACTTCACTGCACAGAAAACGAGCTAAAGTTTTAAAATAAATATTAATGCCATCAAAACAGATAAATATTAATATGATGATGAATGATTATAGAAAACAAATATGTTTTTGTATTCATTGCCCATGCGTTCCGATAAAATGTGTCTTTAAATACAACAACTTTTACCAACAGCCTGATTCAGTTGGGATAATTCCTTCTAAAGGGGAAGTGGGGGTGGGGTGGGTGGGAGAGAGACAGAAGAACAGAAAGGGGGAGAGAGAAAGTATACTTGCAACGATTGGTTTAAATATGAAAAGCATGTTTATAAAACTGGAAGCTGAGTCATGGCAACTGGATTTTTTTCTTGTTAGGTTGAAGCGTTTTGCTACTGTTATCACCTGCCAGGCTCCATGTAGCCAGCTTAGTCATCCCTCCACTGTAACTTTGGTGCTGTTGAATGCCAGGTCTGTATCTAATAAAGCCCAGCTAATACAAGATCTTATTCTGGAAAAGGATCCAGATCTGGCTTGCATACCCGAGACGTGGATAGGTAGTGAAGGGTTCTTGTTAGGTTGAAGCGTTTTGCTACTGTTATCACCTGCCAGGCTCCATGTAGCCAGCTTAGTCATCCCTCCACTGTAACTTTGGTGCTGTTGAATGCCAGGTCTGTATCTAATAAAGCCCAGCTAATACAAGATCTTATTCTGGAAAAGGATCCAGATCTGGCTTGCATACCCGAGACGTGGATAGGTAGTGAAGGGGTGTGCCCTTGTCTCTTGTCTGTCCCCCCCTTGTTTGTCCCTCCCCGTCTAGTACCAGGGTAAACTGGAGGGTTGTGGGGGGAGTTGCCATTGTTTATAAGGACACCCTTGAGGTTGTCAGGCTTTCTGCTGTGGTGATGCCAGGCCTAGAGGCCCTCCACGTGTCAATTGGGGTCAGGTATTGGGATCTTGCTGGCATACCGTGCTCCCCACGATCCAGCCACCTCCCTACCACAGCTAACCGACTTCATCTCCGCAGCTCTGTTGGGATCCCTGAGACTGATTGTCTTGGGTGATGCGGAGGGGGAGGTTACCAGTCTGGTTCTTGAGTTCTTGGAAACCATGGCTTCCTTGGACATGTCCCAACATGTTAACAGCCCCATGCATGTGGGTGGCCACACTTTGGACCTGTTTTTCCCCATTGAGTAGACAGAGTGTAGCCTGATGGTGACTGACCTTCGGCTGGTCCCCGACATGGTCAGACCACCACCAGATAAAGTGTAATTTCACAGTGGCCCGCCCTCCCTGTGGGGAGCAGAGACCTACTTTCATGATCCGACCTCACAGGCTACTGGATCCTCTTGGATTCCAGGATGCCATGCGTGGGATTCTGACTGGCCCGGCTGGCGCTCCTCTTGAGGCTCTGGTAGATGGCTGGTATGCCGCCGCTGCCAGGGCTGTAGACACAATTGCTCCTAAACACTCTCTGGCGCAGAGCCTGACCAGTGCCTTGGTTTAATGAGCAGCTGTGGGGGGTATGAAGCGGAATAGGAGAAGGCTAGAGAGCGTCTGGAGGCAGAACCCAATGGAAAATAATTTAAAAGCTGCCAAGGTCACGTCAAACCTCTACCTTGCTAAGGTAGAGGCTGCTAAAAAAGCCTACTGTGCTGTCCGGATAAGCAAAGCATCCAATCAAGAGGTGGAACATCTCCATACATAGTGGTGCCTTGACCTACGAACGTCCCTACACACAAACATTTTCACTTACAAACAGCTCCGTTCGCAAAATTTTGCAAATGGAGCTTTGACTTACGAAAAAAAAAAAAAAGGAAAGTGGGAAATGGACCTTGGCCTGGTACTACCTGGTACTGTAATTTTAAAATGTAAAAACTGGTTTAAAAGGTGTTTGGTTTGGTTTAAAGCTGCTTGGTTTTGAAGGTATTCATTCCCTCCCTCCTTTCCTGCCCTTTTTTAAAACCTAAATCATCTTAGGTTTAAAAAAAAAAATCCCCCTAGTGGAGAGGCGACTTACAAACGGCACCTCTACATAAAAACAAAAAACAGCCAGAACGGATTAATTGGTTTTCAATGAATTCCTAAGGGAAATGCTGATTCGACTTACAAACTTTTCCACTTACAAACATCTTCTAGGACAGATTATGTTTGTAAGTTGAGGCACCACTGTAGTATGTGACCTATCCGGAATTGGCTACAATGACTGGCCTCAATCTAGCATTTCTTGTGACCAATTTGCAGCATTTTTAAAATCTTAAGTTGAGGCCATCCGCCGGGATCTCACACCCTATCTGAAAACAGTGGATTGAGCTGAGACATCCAGCGCAGCGCCTTGTCCATTGAGAATTATTCAGTTTCAACCTGTGACATCCACAGAAGTGGACAAGGTCCTTGATTGCTGCTGAGCCACCATCTCCTCCTTTGACCCTTGCCTAACCTGGCTAATCAAAGCGGCCAGGCCAGTGATAACTGAATGGGCCACTGAAATAATAAATGGATCTCTTCTTGAGGTCTTAAGGCAGTGGTCAGAGAACAGGGGTAAATTACCCCAAATGGGGTAAAAATGAAAATTCTGGGGGTAATGAGGATGGTCGCAGCAGCTCAACCATCCTCATTACCCCCAGGCATTTTATTTCCGACAATGTTGTGCAGGAGGGCATTCCGTTGCGGGGACAGCAAGAAATTGCACAGGGCACCTGCCTGCCTTCCTTGCCTCCAAGGTAGGGGAAAGGCAGCGGACTGGGCCAGCTGGATTCTTTGCCCTGCCCAACCCTGGCTGGGGCTCTACTTCCTGTCCATCCCTGTCTGGCCGGTTCGCTGGCAAGGAGGCCCCCTTCCCGCCCTGCCTCACCTGAGCTCACGGCCAGTGGAGCTGTCAGCCCTGCGGTGCCCGCCTCCTCTCACCAAGAATGCACTTTCCCGGTTGCTTGGTGGCTCCACACTGGCTGCCCAGGCAGCGGCCACAGGTCCCGGGGGAGTGCAGAGGCGGGGAGGGGGATCAGCCTTGGATGGCGAGAGCAGAGCGGGGGGTGCAGGGATGGGGCAGATGAACGTTGCCCGGACAGTGGAAAGCGGAGCTATGCCCGGAGGTGGCAAGGTTGGGGTGGCAGACCTCCCAGCAGGCTGAACTTCTGGGGACCCACAGGGCCCGCTTGAGTGCTGCTGTGCAGTCCCCCCCCCAGCCCCAAGTGCGCCAGGTGGAAAGGAGGCCTCCAGCTCCTGCAGGGAGGGAGGGAGGGAGAGAGGGCTAGCCAGCTGGCCACCTGGCTCCTCTGCCCACTCCGGGCCCGCATCTCAATGCCGGCTCCCACGCTTGGGCGGCGTGGCTTGTGGGCACGTCACCCACACATGTAAAGTGGCTGGGATGGTCACTCACTCGCTGCGCCGAGTCGCCCAAAAAGAGAGAGCCCAGGAAGAGATGGAGGAGGAACTGCGGCAGCAGAGGAAGAAGGAACCTTGTCCTCCTCTGACTTATTTTTGGGGAAACATGGTAGATGTCGACCAATGGTTCTTGATGCCCTGATCAAGATTAAGAATGAAATGGACTCCACCCTGACCTTCCGCCGGTCCTGCAGAGAAGGTAAATGTGCTTGTCATTTGGTGTGGTGTTCTGAGAAGCCAGACTCAGGCAGGCAGCAGGTTCAATAGGGTGGGAGTTTTGCCAGCACAGGGACCATTCTAAGGCTGTTTGGTTTTGTGTTTCATTTCACTCTAAGGCCTTCCTTTGATAGTCCACTTGGTTTTCACCTGGCAGGACAAAGTTCGAAACAAGAGTAGTCCTACAACGACCTGGAATTTTTAGCATGTATACATTACTGAAACAGTGACGTCTACGTTGGCTTGGGCACGTCATGAGAATGTCCGACGGTTGGATTCCAAAAGATCTCCTGTATGGTGAATTAGTGCAGGGAAATTGCCCCAGAGGGAGACTACAGCTGTGATACAAGGATACCTGCAAGCGGGATCTGAAGGCTTTAGGAATCGACGTCAACAGATGGGAAACCCTGACATCGGAGCGTTCATCCTGGAGGCAGGCGGTGCATCATGGCCTCTCCCAGTCTGAAGAGACCCTTGTCCAGCAGGCCAAGGCAAAGAGGCAGTCCCGGAAGCAGCAAAATCAGGGAGCTGGACAGGGGACAGATTGTATTTGTCTTCAGTGTGGAAGGGATTGGCACTCTCGAATTGACCTTTTCAGCCACACTAGACGCTGTTCCAATTCCTCCATGCAGAGCATGTTACCATAGTCTCTCAAGACTGAAGGATGCTAAATCTGGCTTTCAATAGCAAAATTTCTGTTGACTTGCTACAGACACACACAGACTCTCATCTCTGAGGTAAGGCCAGAGCAGAAAGCCAACATATTATAGTTGTATTTGCAGTTTGGGGGCATGTTTTTATTTTCAGTGTAACAGCTAAAACTAATGTATGATTTCCTTCCTTTCAAATCAAATCAAGGGGGTAATGTCGGCGTATATAATTTTTTTTGGAGGAGGGGGGTAAAAGGTAAAAAAGTTCCCTGGCCCCTGCCTTAAGGAAATGCTCATTAGACCCATTAGGAAGAAACCAAGCTTGGTGGCAGACAACATTGGCAATTATAGGCCCGTCACTAATGTTTCTTTCCATAGCAAGGTAGTTGAGAGGGTAACCAGCTTCAGGCTCTCTTGGGTGAAACCGATGCCCTGGATCCGTTTCAGTCAGGCTTCAGTCCATGCCACGGCACAGAAATGGCATTGGTCACCCTGCTGGATGACCTACTTAGGAAGGCCGACAGGGGCAAAATGTCCTTGCTTGTACTCCTTGATATCTCAGCCTCCTTTGATACTGTCAACCACGGTAACCTCCTGGAGGGGCTCTCCGAGTTGGGGATTGGTGGCCTTGCTCTTGCTTGGCTCTGGTCCTTTTGGAGGGTCATCCCTAGAGAGTTCAGCCTTACACACTCCTTAGCGGATTCCGACTTCCATGGCCACCGTCCTGCTGTCTATATCAACCAACACCTTTTCTGGGGTCTGATGAGCGTCGGCATCGGGCGCCTTAACCCGGCGTTCGGTTCATCCCGCAGCGCCAGTTCTGCTTACCAAAAGTGGCCCACTAGGCGGCTCGCATTCCACGCCCGGCTCCAGGCCAGCGAGCCGGGCTTCTTACCCATTTAAAGTTTGAGAATAGGTTGTGCAATCAAATGGTGTAAGGTTGATACTGGACAAGACGGAAGTCTTGTGGGTGGGTGGCCCCCATGTCAGTGGTTTGGGGAATTCCATCTCTTTTTTGGGGGGTGACTCTCACCACAAAGAATTTGGTTTGCAGTCTGGGGGGCCATGTTGACCCGGCGCTTACCATGGAGCATCCATGGTTCTGTCTGCCCATTTACATCTTTGGCAGATTGCGCAGCTGCATCCCTATCTAGACGCAGGGGCGCTCAACATGCTGGTTGTCTTAAGAATGAACTACTGTAATGCTCTCTATGTGGGACTTCCTTTGAGACTGATGCAGAAGCTCCAGAACAAGGCAGCCAGGCTATTAATAGGGGTGAAAAAATGTTACCATATTTCCCCCATCTTGGCTGCCTTACACTGGCTACTTATATGCTTCCATACCAGTTTCAAGGTGCTAAATATTACATACCAAGCCCTTAATGGTCTAGGCCTTGATACCTGGCAAAGTGCCTTTTTTCCACCCAGTTCTACCCCTATCACCTGCTCTAGTCAGGCTGGGCAGTTGAGGGGCCTAATGCCAAGAGAGGCCTAGTGGGAATAAACTGGGAACCAGGCCTTCTTGGCAGTGGCTCCTCGTCTATGGAACAGCTTACCTGTAGAGATCCACCCGGCTCCCTCACTGAGGACCTTCAAGACTAGCTCGAAGACATGGCTATACAGACAGGCCTTCCCGAGAGCCATTACCTAGCCTATCTTCCTTTCCCTTTTTTTCCCCTCTCGTTTTTTTTCCTTTCCTCATCTTGGACTTTGAGATTAATTTGTATTTTACCTCAGTTTATTTTTATGCTATATGTAAACCGCCCAGAGTAGACACATTCTAGATGGGTGGTATATAAATCTAATAAATAAAATAAAATAAAAAAGCATTTCAACCTAACAAGAAAGAAGTTCACTTGCCATGACTGAATTTAAAAATAACCACAACTGGATGACTGAGAATCTTCACAGATACCTTTGTAAAAATTCTTAATTTGGAAGCTAATGAATGATGAAGAAACAATAAATAGTAATAATTGTGTAAGATTAAAAAATACAACACATGAAATTACTAACCATCGCCAGCTGTATCCAAGGATCGAAGAAAGAAGTTCACTTGCCATGACTGAATTTAAAAATAACCACAACTGGATGACTGAGAATCTTCACAGATACCTTTGTAAAAATTCTTAATTTGGAAGCTAATGAATGATGAAGAAACAATAAATAGTAATAATTGTGTAAGATTAAAAAATACAACACATGAAATTACTAACCATCGCCAGCTGTATCCAAGGATCGAAGATACTGCAGTTCTTCTGCTGCTTTATCCCTTACTGCTTCCAACTCCCCTATTTTGTCGCTTACTTTAACAATGTTCATAAAGGCCTCATAGTTGCAAATAGAATCACGAATCTAAAGTAAATGCAGAGGAATATTACTAAACATTAACCTGTTTTTTCTACACAGAGAGATTCAAAGAATCACCTTTTATTTTGGTCAAATCAATGCCTCTAACTTTGCACCTTTTAAGAAACAAACTTTATAATTTAATCTTCATTATCTTCCAGTTATTAGTTTACATGCTCTCTGATAGTGAGAATTATAAAAATGTTGATGAATGGTCACTGAAGGAATAAACATCCATTTTAACAAAGGTGAATTGCATCAATATTGAATTTCAAGTAAACCAGAACCTGTAGCAAAACACAAACCATACCTGCTCTTCTACTTTAGTTTTAGGCCACTGCTGTTCTAATAGTGAGAATTCAGATGGCTATCACATTTCCACAATGCGTTTACAGATTCATGAAATGAGTGGCCTGATAAACCAGAGCAAAGGAACAGCAAATGTAAAATTCACCTAATTTTCAGTTTTTCTATTCTAATTATTACTGCTTTTGAATGAAAGCAAGAAGATTCAACTTTTAAAAAATAGAAGGGGATGAAAATCTACAGACTGGAGCTGTCTTGACTCTGGACTAATTAGTATTTCCTGTTGCATCATGTGATCAACAGGAAAATATGTGAATCATCCAGCCCAAAATCCATAATATTTCTCTCGTTTTTGTTCCTATGTAGTCATGCTTTCAGATAAAGGGATTAATATCACTGGCAGTGATTCCAGTGTCAATTTTTGTTATGTTTTGTGGTAAGTGAAGTTTATTAAAAAGGTGAGAACATTGTGAGAATAAACATTGTGAAAATATGTCCAAGTATAAAAAGCTTACCATCCATATGAAATACTGATTAATATAATCAGGATCACTGAGCTGATTTATTAATGGAAGAAGAATTCCTTGAGCAAGGATTTCCTGAAAAACAAGAAACATTAACATCAACCATTCTTTCAAGCTGACAATTTATTTAAATAATTAATTTGGTCAAGATCTCAGACAAAAACTAGAAGTGTGAAACAAAGCTGGTGAGGTATTTTTTCTAGGCTGACCTTTGTTCTCCCTGACCACATTGCCTGAAGGGAAGGGGTTTCAGCTTTAAAGGAGGGTGAGCAGAAGCTCTAAGCCCTTTTCTTGAAGAAGCTGAGGCAGGAGGTGAGGTATGTTTGGGAGACACTTTGGTGAGGTATTTTTTCTAGGCTGACCTTGTTCTCCCTGACCGCATGGTTTGAGGGGGTGAGGTTTCAGCTTTTAATGAAGGTGAGCAGAAGCTCTAAGCCCTTTTCTTGAAGAAGAAGGTGAGGCAGGAGGTGAGGTATGTTTGGGTAGACATTTTGGTGATGTATTTTTCTAATTCTATTTTGACCATAATCTGGTAAATAGGAAAGCCAATTAGCATTGCATACACCTGGGGGTAGGAAAGTTTTAACGGTCGGATCATACTTCTGCACTATTATTTTATTATTTATTTATTTTATTTATTTATTTAACTTATATGCCGCCCACTCTACCCAAAGGTCTCTGGGCGGCTTACAACAATTAAAATACAATAAAAATACTATAAAAAGATAAAACAATTAAAATACAATTAAAATAGCTACTCTAAAAATTGCCATCAGGACCCACAGTTGATATTATTTCAATTAAAAGCCTTCTGGAACAGGAAGGTTTTGACCTCACGCCGAAATGTCATCAGAGTCGGCGCCACACGAATCTCAGTCAGGAGGGCAGTCCATAGTCTGGGGGCAGCTGCCGAAAACGCCCTTTGTCTACAAGCCGTCCCTCTTACCGCGAGGGACGGTTCTTTCAAAAGGGTCTCCTGGCTAGATCTTAACTGTTGGATAGGCTCATATGGAAGGAGGCGGTCCTTCAGGTACCCAGGGCCCAAGCCGTTTAGGGCTTTATATGTCAAAACAAGCATTTTGAATTGGGCCCGCACAGCAACTAGTAACCAATGTAATTTAATCAGAATTGGCCTGATGTGTTCCCTAGTGGTCCCAACACTCACCAGCCACGCAGCTCGATTCTGGACCAGTTGCAGTCACCGGACCATCTTCAAAGGCAGCCCCACGTAGAGCACATTGCAATGATCTATACGAGATGTTACCAGTGCGTGTGTAACTGTCATGAGACTCCTCTCATCCAGGTAGGGCCGTTGATGGTACAATTTCCGCAGCTGAAGGAAGGCGCCCCTGGCCACCGAGTCTACCTGGGCTTCCAGATTTAGACTAGGGTCCAGGAGTACCTCCAGGCTGCGGACCCTGTCCCTTAGGGGGAGTGTAACCCCATTTAGGGCAGGGAAATGGCCCTCCAAACTGTCCGGCGAAGCACACACTAAGACCACTTCTGTCTTGTCTGAACTGAGTTTCAATTTATTAACCCTAATCCATTACAGAGTAGGCCAGGTAGGTGGGGCTCATCAGCCTTGGAAGGCAGCCCATCTAGGAGAAGGAAAACTCCCATTTCAAACCTCCACTGCCTTGCGGCTATATCTACTGATGGAAAAGGCTTCAGGAGTTAACCTTGAGGGAAAATCCGGAGTCAGAGTCCCAAAGGCAGTTCGTGTCGTTCTGGCAACTCCTGCGATGTCGCTTGAAGCAGTTGTACTGGCTCTTGCTTTTCCATTAGACAATTTCAGTGATGTGGAGAGCAGGGATTTGCTGCTTGGGTAACAGCCTATCCTCCATATTATTTTACCCAGGCTTCGTGCTCTGGAGAGGACACTCCAGCTTCGCATACAGCGTCGAAACAATACAGGAAGTAGCAGTTACCAGTTATAAGTCTTTCCTCGATTGGCGTAGGGCATGACACCAGGGGCTACTTCTGACGGTGGGAGAGGTCATTTCATCTCACTAGGTAGCTACTGCCCACCTTAAGCTGGGCAGTCCCCAGCCAGTAAGGTGTTACCTCGCCACGGTTTGATTACCTCACGGGGTGCGTGGGGTTTAGGGTGAAAGCCAACAAGGAGATCGATAACCCTGAGTAATGCAACAATCGTAAGGAAACTTCTGCCCTAAAGTTGGGCACCTGGAATGTTTGGACAATGAGCCCTGGCTTTTCTGATAACCTGCAGGAAATAAACAATGTGCGCAAGACAGCTGTCATTGACATGGAACTGAGTAGACTGCAGATGGACATTGTTGCCCTGCAAGAAACGAGATTGCCAGACTCGGGATCTGTCAAAGAAAAAAAAAACTTCTCATTCTTCTGGCAGGGAAAACCATTCAATGAGACCAGGGAATATGGTGCTGGCTTTGCAGTCAGAAATACTCTGCTGAGATCCATTGTTCCACCTACTGTAGGGAGTGAAAGAATCCTGTCTCTGCAGCTCCACTCATCAGCAGGACTGGTCACCCCCATTAGTGCATATGCACCAACACTGTCATCCACAAGAGAAGTCAAAGACAAATTCTATGACAATCTGGCAGCTGCTATCAAAAAAGTCCCTGAGAGAGAGCCACTTTTCATTCTCCGAGACTTTAACGCTAGAGTTGGTGCTGATCACAATTCCTGGCCCACTTGTCTAGGCCGTTTTGGCATTGGAAAGATGAATAGAAATGGTCAACGCTTGCTGGAGTTTTGCTGTTACTATGGTCTTTGTGTCAGCAACACTTTCTTAATACGAAGCTTCAACATAGAGGAGACATCCAAGATCCAACCATTGGCATCATCTCGATTTGATCCTTACTAAACGTTCTAGCCTTCCTAGTATTACGACCACACACAGTTACCAGAGTGCTGATTGCGATACTGATCATTCCCTGGTGTGTAGTAGAGTAAAATTGTGAACAAAGAGATTGTATCACACGAAATAGGAAGACCATGTATTGACATCAGCAAGACTCGCGATCAAAGAAAACTGGAGGAATTTGTCCAAGTGCTTGAGAAAACCCTTCTAGGCCCGGCTGATGGAAATGCACCTGAACGATGGGAACATTTCAAGAATGTTGTGTATAACACCGCCTTGCTCACATCTGGCAAGAAGACCAAAAAGAGGGCTGACTGGTTCGAAGACCATTCAGAGGAGTTGATGCCAGGCATCGAGGATAAGAGGAGAGCTCTAGTAGCAAACAAAGCCTGTCCTAGTGAGTACAACTTGCAAGCTCTTCCAGCTGCTTGTAGCCAAGTCCAACAGGCTGCCAGGAGATGTTCCAATGATTATTGGCTTCTTTGCTCTCAGAGACAGCTAGCAGCGGACAAAGGTAACATCAAAGGAATGTATGACGGTATTAAGCAGGCTTTAGGTCCAATACAGAAGAAATCTGCTCCCTTGAAGTCTGCTACAGGCGTGATCATTCAGGACTGAGCACAGCAAATGGACCGCTGGGTGTAGCACTACTCTGAGCTGTATTTTAGAGAGAATGTAGTAACCGAAGAAGCACTGAATAACATTGAGTGCCTGCCTGTCTTGGAAGAGTTGGACAGCGAATCAAATTCAGCAGAAATAAAAATGGCCTTGGATTCCCTCATCTCTGGCAAGGCACCTAGAAAGGATAACATCCCTGTTGAAGTGCTGTAAAGAGATCATCACCACCAAACTGTATGAAGTCTTTCGTCTTTGCTGGAGGGAAGGTGGGAGTACCACGGGACATGAAGAATGCAAACATCGTCACATTGTATAAGAACAAAGGAGACAGGGGCAACTGCAATAACTACCATGGCATCTCTCTTCTCAGCGTTGTAGGGAAGCTCCTTGCCCGTGTTGTGCTGAAGAGACTCCAAGTGCTTGCAGACAAGAGTCCATCCAGAATCACAGTGTGGATTTCGAGCTCATAGATCCACCACTGACATGGTATTCTCCCTCACGTAGGAGAAACGTAGGGAACAACAACAGCCACTCTTTGTGGCCTTCACAGATCTCACAAAGGCCTTTATTTGGTTAGCAGGGATGGCCTTTTTAAAATATTTCCCAAGATTGGATGTCCACCTCGAATCCTTAACATCATCAGGTCCATTCATGAGGGAATGAAGGGCATTGTAGTTTTTGATGGCTCAACATCAGATCCCTTTGACATCCAAAGAGGAGTGAAACAGGGCTGTGTCCTCACGCCAACCCTTTTTGGGATCTTTTTTACTGTCATGCTGAAGCACGCCTTTGAAACTGCAACAGAAGTGTCTATCTCGGGACTAGATCAGATGGAAAGCTCTTTAATCTCTCTAGATTGAGAGCAAAGACCAAAGTCCAACTGAAATGCATGCGGGACTTCCTCTTCGCCGATGATGCAGCCATTGTTGCCCATTCTGCTGAAAACCTCCAACAACTCATGAATTGCTTTAGCAAGGCCTGACAAGACTTTGGACTAACAATCAGCCTGAAGAAAACACAAATCATGGGCCAGGGTGTGGACTCACCTCCCTCTATTACCATCTCCATGCAAGAATTGGAGGTTCTTCATGACTTTGTCTACCTTGGCTCGACTATCTCGGACACTCTCTCTTTAGATGTCGAGCTGGATAAATGCATTGGCAAAACAGCTACCATGTTCTCAAGACTCACAAAGAGAATATGGCTCAATAAGAAGCTGACGGCATATACCAAGAACCAGATCGCAAGAATTGGAGGTTCTTCATGACTTTGTCTACCTTGGCTCGACTATCTCGGACACTCTCTCTTTAGATGTCGAGCTGGATAAATGCATTGGCAAAACAGCTACCATGTTCTCAAGACTCACAAAGAGAATATGGCTCAATAAGAAGCTGACGGCATATACCAAGATCCAGATCTGTAGAGCCTGTGTCCTGAGCACACTCCTGTACTGCAGTGAGTCCTGGACCCTTTATACACGGCAGGAGAGGAAGCTGAACATCTTCCATATGTGTTGTCTCCAACGCATTTTTGGTATAACCTGGCAGGATAAAGTTCCAAAGAAGAGCAGTCCGAGAACGAGCTGGAATTTTTAGCATGTATACATTACTGAAACAGTGACGTCTACGTTGGCTTGAACATGTTGTGAGTATGGCTGATGGTTGGATTCCAAAACATCTCCTGTATGGAGAATTAGTGCTCTTCAGAGCCAGCCGATCAGCTGTTAGGCGGGGAGAGGAGGGGGCAGGAGCTGAGAAAAGCACAAAATCGCTGCCAGGCTCCCTGGTACCAGAGCACAGAGTGCTGTCCTCTGAAGATGCCGGCCACAGAGACTGGCGAAACATTAGGAAGAACAACCTTCAGAACACGGCCAAAGAGCCCGAAAAACCCACAACAACCATTAGATCCTGGCCATGAAAGCCTTCGTGAATATACAGAACTAATTATAACTTAACTAAACCACCTGAAAGACCACACCTTCCTCTCTGAGCTGGGTTTCAAAATCATCAGAAGAGGTCAGTCCCATCACCCTCACAGGTACATTTCATAAGGACACAAGAAAGGGCCTTCTATGTCACTGTTCCCAAGCTGGGGAACCCCCTTCCATAGGAGGCAAGATTGGTCCCCACTTCCAAAAGGAGGCAAAACAACTTTTTCTTTAGGCAAACTTTTTCTCAATAATGGAGGGGGGGGGATTGTCTTAGAAACAGGGCTGCTATTTTCTTTTTTAAATGTTGTTTCTTTTACCACTGCAAGCTGCCCTGGATCTTCTTGAGGAGAAAGATAAGGTTTAACTAGTTCAGACATATATTGAGACAGACAGAAGAGACAGACACACAGACAAATTACCCTGACAAAGTATCTCATGATCTTGTTCTGGAAGTCTTCAGGAGGTAGCAATAAATACAGTAAAACTTCACATAGATCCCTTAGGAATCCTAAAGACAGAAGACAGAAAACACTGGATAATGAAATGTAATGTAGTGTTAAATATACTCCTGCTTATCTTTCAGAAAGCTTCTATATGCCACATTTAATGCAACTATCATATAGGAAGATGACAACATTCAGCAGGCCAATTACTGGTAATAATGTTCTAGAAATAGAAGCTTTAAACTCATACCTAAATTTACACTATTACTATGTAATATGTACTGAATAGCCATTTTTAAACCAAAAGAATAATACACTATTTTACCATTACATATACATTCTCTCTCCCACTGATTGATAATAGAATCCACTACTATCCCTCTGAAAGCAAAAGAAAGTGACTGAAGACCATGGATGAAAATGAAGAGATTTTCGTTTATTTATAGGAGACCATTTGCTAGCACAGTTTATTCACAGCTTATGTTTAAAAAGCAAGAAAGGAAACCTTCTTCATCTTTGGGAGATGTGCAGATTAGATCACGACAGATTTTCTCCTCCATTTCAGCTTCAACTTCAAAAAATGTATCTACAAGGTCTTCTGCTCCATCTAAACAGAAATTGTTCCATCAATCTACACAAATAAGCTATTTTTTTTTATTGTGACCATCAGGTGCACTAAAACCTCTTTTCCATATACCTCTAAGCTTAGCAATTTAAGTCCTCCCCCCCCAAGTATCTTTAAAAAAATTCATTTCCTGATTTGAAAAGCCCTGTTCATTTCTGCATATGTTCATCGCAATGTTTTCTAAGATAGAACAAAGGAAACCTTTCCTGTAATTTACTACCTAACTCTGGCCAGCGATACCAGTTTGTGACGACACCAACCTCTAATGCCACCACAAAAAACTTGCCCAATGATCAGACCTAAGGAAGGTCCAGGAATCTGGAATGGGGAACTGCAGTGAAAAAAATGGTTGGGAAGAGACAACCAATTCTCCTGTATAAGAAATGCACTCCATATTATGTTTCAATATATTATATATATGCATTAAGAACTTGGTAAATAGGTGGAAAAAGCTAACTTGCTTATGCAACTCTGATTTGTAGGAAATGGTATCTATTCTAAATGCATTGAAGAAAGCTGCAGAATAACCAAAACCTTGATTTTGATTTATTATGAAAAGCAGTAAGACATATTTTAAAAAGCAGGTATTACCTTGAATCTGATCATCTTTTTCAGTTATCCTTTGTTGAGCTTTTCTGAATACTCTAAGATGAGTAGCAAAATCATCTACTAGACGAGTGGTAAAATATGGCTGCCAATCTATTTCTTTTGACCTTTCAAAGTAAAGAAATATTATTTTTACAAAATAGAACTGCATTAAGTACAATATATATATTGCTGTCCTGTAACAGTTTTTAAGACTGAAGCTTAAATTTTGTTTTCCTTTTTTAAAAAAGAAAGTAGTACAAAAGGCAAAAAAATTAGTTAATGTTATTAATCAATGGCTACCAATCATTCATAGATTTCTGAAGTAGAAGCATCTGTTTAAACAGCACAGAATAAAAAAGAACACTAGATGGCCACCTTATATACATTTTTGGTTCAGTTCAAAGGGGAAAACGCAAAGCAAAATCAAACCTAGAACTTACTGTATTATCAACTGTACAGTGTCTGATACACTTGGAAACAAACTAAACTACAGTTGAATGCTAACTATTTTATACAACACACTACCGTGTGTAGAGATCTGTGCACAAAAGCTTCTGAAACATGTGGGTGCAAAAAAAAGACTCTTGGGAAACTTCTATTTAAGACCTCAAAGGAAGTAATGACACACTCACTCTCTCTCTCTCTCTCTCTCTCACACACACACACACACACACACACACACACACAGAGAGAGAGAGAGAGAGAGAGAGAGAGAGAGAGAGAGAGAGAGAGACTGACTCTTCGTGACCCCATGGACTGGAGCACGCCAGGCTAAAACATATATTTCATTATTACAGTATTTTAAGCAGTTATTGTAATCTATTCTTTTAAATTGCTTGAACAGTTATAGGGTAATTTTTGTTAGTATATTTGAAGTTGTTCATAAAAATAATTCTTACCTAGAAGAAAACTGAATTAATGCATTTTGGAGAGCTTGCCTGATTTCAAGAAGAAAAGACTCGTCATCACTTAGTGTGTAATACCAATACTGGACATAGTCACGCAAGGAAAACTGGATAATCTAAAATTACAGAAAAACATAAAAATAAAATACCAATTAAAAAAAAACATTCCAGGGGAAAATATTTAGCTAAGGAGTCAAAGGACCCATAACAATGTTGGGTTACACAAGAATCAAGATCTGTTAAAACTTCTAAACAAGTACAATGATCACAACTTCAGCTGCACTCTTAATTCCAAGTACACTGCTGGGCGGAACATTGTTAGTTACAGAATAGATTTGATTCACTATAGTTCTGTAATCCACAATGGCTTAGATCAGGGCTGGACAACTGTGGTCCTCCACATGTCCTTTAGACTGTAACTCTCATCAGCATTTGGGAGAACACCCTATGGTGGGGGTTCACTGTGTATAGTTAACAGTCCAAAAATATCTGGAGGGTAAAGTATATTTGTGATGGCCATTAGTCTCTATTTACGGCACCCACAAAGAACTACACAGCCCACAAAGGCACAGGCCCTCCAAGAAGTACTGGGGCAGTTTCCTTTCTTTACAGGAAGTACACCCCATATAGGATGAAAGCTAGTGTCTGATCCAGTTGAGTGAAATGTGGAGGTGTGTCTCTGTGGGCAGGAACTACCAGAGTTCTGCTTGGGGAATTCTTGGAGAATTCTGGGAGTGGGAATGCTGCCCCCCATGAATAGTACATTCCTACTCAGTACAAGCCAAGTTTAATTAGCTGTCTCAGAATGGTTTGGTCCTTGGCTGAAAAAATCAGATTGGCAAAAAGCATGGTTAACATCAAAATAACATCAAAAACAATCTTCAGTGTATTTCCTAAAAATCTTGTTCATTATACTACACTTGCATCACACCACCAATGGAAAACCTTTTCCTGTCAAATCAGCACCTTTGGCATCTTAAAGGCATTAGAAATTGTGCCAATGTATTAATAAATTTAGCATATCTTCTTAAAGCATTCCTCTAACCCACATTATCACACAGTGCATACTAGCCACATTCAGCTGTGACATATAATTCCATCAACAATATTTCTGAATCTTACTAGTTATCATGAGACCTGCCTGCTTGTGATCTTAATTCCACAAATCTTAGAATTAAGTGATTATATAAGGGGTTAAGCATTTCATTAACAATCACAAGCTTTATACATTGCACAAGAGCAGCAAACAGTACAGAGACAAACTCTTAACATTCTAGAACAAAAAAAAGTAAAACTGTAAAGCTCTGGGCATCTAAACTAATCACCATATTTGCCTGGGAATTATGAGAAAAAAACACGAAGTCATAAAAATCAAGCCTGTGACCTAAGGCAAAATTATCTATCTGTATATTACCATGCAGTTTTCCCCAAGCCAAACTTACAAGTTTTTAAAAAATAAGAAGTGTATTCCTTCAGTAATTCTGCAATTTGCAGATTTTGAAAAAAATGTCTAAATTCAAATGACAATAAAGTATAATTTGTCATTATAAACTTAAGTTAGCATGAACTATATTCCCTTCCTGCAGTAAACAGGAAGGTGATGCAAAAGAGGTTACTCACCTGTAACTCTGGTTCTTTGAGTGGTCATCTGTGAATTCACACTAGTGGGGTTAATCTGTGTCTATGCAAAGAAGCTTTGGAGTCTTCTAGAGCTCAGGCACATGGCGCCGGGACCTCCCACATGCAGGCTATAACCCCACCCCGGCACCAAGTGTCTCAGTTCTGTGGAACTGTCTGCAGCTGTGCAACATGTAAGGCACACGTGACATACAGTGGGGAGGAAGGACGGGAAGTGTGAATTCACAGATGACCACTCAAAGAACCAGAGTTACAGGGGAGTAACCTCTTTTTCTTCTTCATGGTCTCTGTGAATGCACACTAATGGATGACTAGCAAGCTGACTTACCAGGTGGAGGGATGTCACGAAAGAACAGATGCCAAGACAGCTTGGCCTACAGCAACCTTTGCTTTGGCCCAATTATCCAGGCAGTAATGAGCCACAAAGGTAAATGGCGTGCCCCACATACCAGCCTTGCAGATATCTGCCGAGTCCACCCCTCTGAGGAAGGCTGTGGAGGAAGCAACAGCCCTAGTAGAATGGGCCTGAACCATGCTCGGCAAAGGCGCATTGGCCAGTTTGTATGCCAGACAGATCATTGTAACTATCCACCGGGAAATTGTTTGTGCCGACACTGGAAGGCCCTTCGACTGGCCTTGGAAGGATACAAACAGCCAGCATCACGAGCGGAAGGATGCAGAATGGGAGACATAATATGAAAGTGCCCTCTAGGGAATGAAGAGCCCTCTCTAGTTTCAGCATTGGAGTTGGAAAAAAGGTTGGTAGTACTACAGGCTGATTTAGGTGGAAAGTTCTAGCTACTTTTGGCATGAAGGAGAGATCTGGGAATAGAGTAACCTTATCAGAGTGAAACTGGAGTAAGGGTGGGTCAACCCAAAAGTCAGTTCTCCAGCACATCATGCTGAGGTAATGGCAAGGAGGAAGGCCGTCTTTAGCGTAAAGAGTATGAGAGACGCCGTAGCCAATGGCTCAAATGGTGGGACCGTGAGTTTGTTGAGCACTAACTGCAGGGACCACTAAGGTGGTGGTGGTGGGTTTGTAGGTCAGGCGCAAGTTTTTCAGACCTTTCAAAAATTGTTTTAGAGTTGGATGGCGAAATAGGCTTGCGGCCTCTGAGGCCGGTGGTTGATGAGCCACTATTGAGGCCACGTACACGTTGAGAGTGAAATGCAATAGGGTCCGGTGAAAAAGGAGAAGGAGGAACTGAAGACCTGCATCGAGTGTGGTAGGTCTTGTCGGGAAGTGATTCTTGGTGGCAAAGTTGGAGAATATCTTCCACTTATAAGAATATGTGATGGTTGTGGAGCGCCTATACACATGGTCCAAGACATCAACTACTGTGGGAGCAGCCTCCAAACTATGAGGTGTAGAGACTCCAAAAATGGGTGCAGTGTTCTGCTCTCGTGCAGAGATAGGAGGTGAGGTAGTGATGGAAGTCGAACATGGTCCCCCGAGTCTTGGTGTAGGGTGGAGAACCAGGTCTGGTGAGGCTACCAACGAAGATAACATTCATCTTGTCCTGATGAGCCTTAACTAGCTTTTTGGACTAGCGGAATAGGAGGGAACATGTAGAGAAGCCCTTGGCCCAAGAAGTCATGAACTTCATGGCCCATCTAGTGACGATGGATCCCTGCTCTGGAGCAATAACGGTTGCACTTTCTGTTGGCAAGGGAGGCAAAAACATCCACTTGAAGCGTGCCCCAACACCGCAAAGAGAAAGGAATACATCCCAGTCCAACGTCTGGCTGCAGTCCTGGAGTCTACTCAACCGATCTACCAGAATGTTGTCCTCTGACACCACGTGTACTGCTATCAGGTAAATGTAGCGGGGGTAGCACCACTTCCAAAGCTGAACTGAGAGGTAGAGCAGAAGAAGACAGTGTGTGCCACCCTGCTTGTTCAGCTAGAACACACCTGTGGTACTGTCTGATGCCACCTCCACCACACAGCTGAGGAGCAGGCGCTCAAAGGTCCGGAAGGCCTTGCATATGGCCAGGAGCTCCAGAAAGTTGATATACATGCCCCTTTCCTCCCACGACCAGAGTCCGTGCACTGTTAATTGTTTGACGTGTGCACCCCAGCCTGTCGGGCTTGCATCTTGGGTTTCCCATATTTCTGGTGTCAGAGGTCCAAATGATCTCCCTATCAGTAGGTTGGGCCAGAAAACCCACAAGGTCAGCTGTGCTGCCAGTTATGTTGTAACTACCAACAGTTTGGAATGTGCGTCTAGTAGGGGGGGTTGTATAGTGACAGGTACCAGGCCTGAAATGATCTCATTTTCAGCCAACAACTGGATCTTTGAAATTCTGTCCTCTGGAAGGAATGCCCGGCCCAATGAGGCATCCAGCACTGCCCCGATATACGAAACCTTCTGAATAGGGCATAGAGTGGACTTTCCTTGGTTCACCTGGAGCCCAAGAGCAGATAAAAGAGATAAAGTAAATGAAATATCCTGAGACAATTGGACACGTGAAGGCGCCACCAGCAACCAATCATCTAAATATGGGAATACTGTAAGACCATGCAAACAAAGATGGATCACCACCAGGGCTAAGCATTTCGTGAACACCCATGGTGCCATGGATAAACCAAAGGGAAGAGCCTTGAATTTGTAGACAACCCAGTCAAGTGAAAACCTCAGAAAATGACAATGCTCAGGCTGAATGCTGATATGCAAACATGCATACTTGAGGTCTATAACTGCAAATCAGTCTCCTCGCCTCAACATCTGGATAGTGCTATCCAGTGAAACCATCCTAAATCGCCAAGGTGTAATACAGGAATTCAAGGGGCGGAGTTCGAGAATTGGGCGACGTCCTCCAGTCTTTCTACAGATGATAAAGTAGTGAGAGAAAAACTATGTGCAATGTCTGGGTTGTGAACCAAGGTAATGGCATCCTTCAGAAGCAGTGCAGCTACCTCCTCCAGTGTTGAGGTGGGAGCAGTGTCTCTTAGTAAACCCATGCAAGGTAAAGAATCAAATTCAATTGCATATCTTGTTGTTATAATAGTGAAAAGCCATGAATCAGAAGTGATAGGCTCCCAAGTGTGAAGGAACGGTGACAAATGAATCATGCTGTTAGACGTTGCTGGTGGGCCCACAGAATTAAAGGCTCTGCCTGGGCTTCCGGTAGCTGCATCAGAACCTGGGGTCGAAATGTTTGGCGGAGAGTCCTTATCACTCTCACCATCTGATTCCTCCAAATCAGTCTCGAACTCAATGTCCTGGGGTCCAGAGCCTGGGAGAGAGTTGGTCGAGCTCGAGTCGAGGGGTATCAGTTGGGATGATCATCTGGGGCCTCTGTTGACTCCTCCTCCAGCTCCTGTGAAGCCCTTCAGAGGTGCAGGAGCAGGCTTTGGCCCAGGCCGAAGAGTTGAGGCCAGGCATGGTCTATAGCAGTGGTCCCCAACCTTGAGCCTCCAGATGTTCTTGGACTTCAACTCCCAGAAATCCTGGCCAGCAGAGTGGTGGTGAAGGCTTCTGGGAGTTTTAGTCCAAGAACATCTGGAGGCCCAAGGTTGGGGACCACTGGTCTATAGGACTTGGGATATGAAGGTGGCAAAGGCTCTTGAGGTGCTGGCCACTTTGCTGAGGCAGAGTTTGATATTGGAGTCATCCTCAAAGTAAAGGTAATCCTTGGGATGCCTGTGATACCGAGGCGGCAAGTGCAACAGAGGGTATCGCTCATAATACGGCAGCCACTAGTGACTTCGAAAATACAGTGGGCCCTCTAGTTACGGAATGAATCCGTATTGGAACAGTGGCTGCAGGTCGAAAAGTCTGTAGGTCAAGTCTCCATTGAGCTATAATGCATTGAAAACCGATTAATCCTGTAACCGGCCGGTTTTGTTCCATTTTTGTTCCATTTTGTGTTTTTTTCTGGTCTGTACGTCGATTCTCCGGCTGCAAGTCGAACCTAAATTTTGCAGCCAGAGAAGTCTGTAACTTGAAAAGTCTGTAACTCGAGGGTCCACTGTACATGGCCGATTCACAAGGCCCATGGGCTGCAGGCACTGGTGATGGCAGAGGCTCAGCTGAGGCCTAGAAGCCTTTGAAAATGGCCTTTTCTTTTTCTTCGGTATCAAGGCCGAAGGCGGGTTCGATACCGACACCAATGTGGTCGACCTCAAAACCGACGATGAAGGTCTGGCTGCCTTATGAGCATGCTTAAGTGAGTGCCCTGTAGTTCAAGAAGTCTCGGAAAGAGGGGCTTGCTGTGGGTCTATGGCCAAAGCTCGAGCTGGGCAAAGTGATTTCTCCCACAAGTAGAAGCTAAGTTGCTGGAGCCTTACAAACAGTACACAGGGCGGCGCTGGTGCTCCTCCCCGAGACAGAACAAACACTGTGAATGGCCATCGGTAACTGCGAGACAGAACAAACACTGTGAATGGCCATCATAAGTGGAACCTTGTTTGAACAAGATGAGCAGCGCCTGAAAAAGCCCAAAGCGGCCATAAACTCACTGATGTTTTTTTACAAAATAACACAGTTCTATTCTTTTGTTCAACTCACAAATCCAGAAGGAAAGTACAACAGTCCAAGTTGAAGAAGCCGGGAGGTCCAAGTAGGTAATTTTAAAGGCTGAGGGAAATGAGAACAGGAAGCTCCAATTCGAGTAGCTGCACAAGCGGTGGCAGAAATGGAACTGAGGCACTCAGTGCCGGGGTGGAGCTATAGCCCGCATGTGGGAGGTCCTACAGTAGCACCATGTGCCTGAGTTCTAGAAGATTCTGAAGCTGCTCTGCACAGGCGCAAATGAACTCCATCAGTGTACATTCACAGAGATCACGAAGAACAATTTCTACTTCTGTTTCACAGCTACTGTCATCTTTGTCTCAGCCATGGGGTGGGCACTTTGATTCAATCATAGTTTACAGAGTTCTGATGAAAGGGTAAACTGCAGTATGCTGCAAACCAGGAACAGAAACTTCTAAACTTCTTGCCCTCTCACTTTTCAAAGGAGAGGGAAGCCAAAGAGACTGTGCACTAGCCAGGTTCTTGCCTGAAGAGCAAGCTAGCATTCACACCAACAGAAGCAACTCCAGTAGCATACTAGTCATATTAACAGAAAACAAAAGGAGTGAATAAAACATGGCAAATTTTGGAAAGATAACTGTATTATCATATAATAAATGAAAACATATGGCAAAAAATGACAGTAGTGCAATCCAGAGTAGATTCAATGAAATTGTCACAATTAACTTAGTCTTACTGTCTGGAATTGTAGTGATGTTAGCACAAGATCTCAGTTATGTAATCAGGTGCATTATCAGACACAAGACCAAGAGACACCCCAGCATCTTGTCAATAAGCTACAATCAGCCACAGAAAGTCATGTGCACCATAAGCTAACACCAGTAGGAATTCAAATGGTCTACTCTAACTAAAAGAATCCTAGATTTACTCTGTCCATCTTACCCCTGCTACAAAACTCTACTGAAACAAAAATAGACCTTTCAGAATCTTCAAAATTTGCAGTTCTGCTGGTAAGTGCATACACTCTAGTATGTACAGTACACACATTTCTTTTTTCAAAGAGCAACTTTACAATAAATCTACACTGTCGTGACAACAAACTGAACAGTGTCAGTGTAAGAACAATTGGTAGAAGAACAATAAATGCACTTATCTGGGGAAACAATAATTCTAATCTGTGATTTCTAACATCTGTTGCTAGTTATCTGCTTTAACCAAGTTCGTGGCCAAGATCATAAGACAAAGAATAATCAAATTCTGCTTCTTCCTCTTAAACCAAATTTTTAAAAGTTTAACTAAAGCTAAATTCAGATAACAATCCTAACAGACAAAACTGTTGATTGTGTGTGTTGCAACAGAAGATATAGTTGTCAAGCTATGGGCTATCTGAGAAACTACCAATACAAACAGGGAGGGAAAGTCTGGTGGAGAAAGGTGCGTGTATTTCTCAGAGACACCCCACTCAAATAAAAGTGGAATACTTTTACTTACCATTTGGCAGAAATCCTGTTGCTTAGCACAATAAGTTGCATTAGAACGGGCCTAATAAATCAGCAAGGAGTTGGTGAGTCAGCACATCCATAAATTCCATTGATTCAAGTGGGCCTACTCCAGTTGCCACTTACTAAGCTAAACAACAGCAGTTCAGCCACCGAGTCCCACAAGGAGGATAATTTGGATTATGCACAAACAGAAGGCTGCATTATTTTTGCATCTCTCATTAAAAAATACAATTGTTTATTAATATAGGTCCAGAATATTACAAAAACAACTTATTTTAAAACACTTTTTAAAAAACTCACTTGCTGCAGAGGTTCATCAATTATATAGGCACCGGTCAGTCTCCTATCAATTTTAATAGGTTTGCTTTCCCGTTTCATTTCTTCTATGCACTTTGAGGGGGGGGGGAGAGAGGACATGATTAACTCCCAGATTAACTCCCAGGTTTAGTTCACACTTTAACAGAAAATAACATTCTGATCCATATCTAAGCTTTTCGATGTTAAAAAGCATTTCAAAAAATCCAAAATATATTAGTCCCTCTATCACTCCTATTTTTCTCTTCTCCATTAGCAGCCCCCTTACAGTCTCTATATTTAAAAAGCAAATTTCTGGATAGACTGACAGAGCAAAGAAATTGGGCTGCTGTTAAAGACAAAGAAGGTCAAAATCTCACTGGGCTCCCAGAACTGGCTGTGCATCTTATTCAAACATGTCACTATACAACAGTGCACAAATGTCCCTTTTCATAAAATATGGTCACATAGAAATACCTGAGTAAACACATATGCACATTTCAAACATTCATCTAGTTTTTCAGGTTAAGATGCAGATATTCAACATCATCATTCTGACGAATCAGAGGTCAAAAGTGGAAGATTTGGAATGATGATTCTCAGAAATTATACAACAATACGGTCCTCTCAGCTAATCTGAGGTGCTGGCTATAGGAACCTCAGAAGCTTCCTGATATTTTAAGTGCTTTATATCAAGAAGGCCAAACTACAAAATATTTGGAATTCACTTGACATTCTGTATTTTGCTTTGTTTTTAAACAAAGGGAGATCCAAATTAGAGCAGGACTGTGACATGGTGGGGTATTAAACCTTTTCTTATACTCAGTGCTCCTGATTAAAGTCAGCCAAACAGAATGATGTTAATGGAACTGCTTTACTGAGATGAACAAAAGATCACAGTTGATTTTCACCAAGACAACCGTTCAGGAGAAAAGGTTAACCCCTTCCAGTGACAGTTCCAATCTAGGTCCCTCCCTCAGATTTGGCTCTTTGCAAGTCATGAATGTTATACAGTACTCTTTAATCTGATGGAAAAAAGGGGGGATGGCTCACAAGAAAAGTTACTGGGCATTTCGCATCATAATTCACTACATCACTATTTAAAGCATAAAGTATTCTGCAACTATATATGTTATTAGTAATTTAATTCTCTGAATGCAGGACTTTTTTAAGAGGGTGAAGGGGCAACTGCACCCAAGACTCACGCATGTGAGGGCCTCACACATGAAGGGCACCACAACAACTGACACAAGGTAGTGGCAAAGAGAGGCCTCAAACAAATATTGTGCCTTAGGCTTCTTAATATCTTTTAAAAAGCCCTGTCTCAGTGGTAGTAATCTACGCTGCCAAAACCACACCATCCACACACAAGGAGGGTATCAATAAACTTGTGCTTCCTCAATATGTGCACAAGTACAAAACATTACAGATATTAAAAAAAAAACTCTATGGGGAGAAAACCAGAGGACTGTTGGCTGTTTTGATGGAGTGTGTGGAAAAGGCAACAAAGAGATTTAGAATGGATATAGAGAACCAGCCTGTGGTCTGGAACGATAATTTCCCTGATCGAAAAGATCCAGTGAATCCTTTTCAAAAAGAGATTTGACCACAGACCAAAAATAGTCCAAAGGAGGTGTACAATCAGGAGGCAAAAGATGATGACTGGGATTAATGGTGACAGCAAGGAATGGGAAAGGTATGTAGGTTCAGGAAACCTGAATAAAACACTCTGTTTTCTTGCAAGGAGACGCTTGTTCTTACTAATATTCTGTCTCATTTTCCATCTAAAATAGAAGGAAACATTCAGAAATGGAGTACTCTGAATTGTGTATTAACAAATCATTTGTTTTTTTTCTTGCTAATTCAAAGACAAAAGGGGTCAGATAACAAAAACATATGAAGAAACATCAGAAAAAAAAATGAATTAAAAATAATGCCATGTTGCTTACCTTAGCAATGCCAAATGAGACTGGAGGAAGAAAAGAGTCCTCACACTGTTCAAGGTACTTGTTTGAATTACTTTGTCCAAATAAGAGTGTTACCGCAAAGCCCCTAGAAGAATGAAATCACACTGGAAGTTTCAAACATTGAGACAATTTATTGACTAAAGCAAAAAAATAAAAGCAAAGCGTGCTGCTAATCTACTGCTCCACAGTGCTTAAAGCACTCTCAAGGCCAGCGGTGGCAAACCTTTTAGGGCACAAGTGCCCAAATGGGATTAAAAAAACAATCAGAGCAGGCGGCAGGCCGCAGCAGCAGCAGCAGAACCGGGAGTGATGGTGGGGGAACCGGAAGTGACGGTGAAAGGTGGAATCCTGGGCACGGAGGTGCCTTAAGACCCCACTCCGGATCCACTGCCAGCGCCAGCACCGCGGCTGCAGCAGCCTCCGCAGGTTTGGCTGCGGGGAGGGGGGGGAGTAACAATACTGGTTTCTCTTCAGATTGTATAAATCTTTCGCCTTTAACAATACGGCAACTTATGGCTCGTGTGCCCACAGAAAGAGCTCTGTGTGCCTGCTGTGGTATGTCTGCCACAGGTTCGCCATCACTGCTCTAGGCAGTTTATAATTTAATTATACAATTTTCCCATGCCCCCCCAGCGAGCTGAGTACTCATTTTACCAACCTCAGAGGAATGGAAGGCTGAGTCAACTTTGAGCCAGCTGCCAAAATCTGCTAGGTTGGAATACTGACCACGAGCAGAGTTTCGACACAATACAGTACTACAGTTTAACTACTGCACCATGAGACTAATTAGACTACAGTGGACCCTCGACTTACGAACGGTCCTAGTTACGAACACTTCTGGTTACAAACCCGATCTCATCGCAAGTAGTACACCCTACTTGCGAACGTGGATTGGGTTATGAACTGAAAAGGCAGGGAGAAAGGGCGGAAAATTCGAATTTCCTGCCCTTCCTCCCTGCCTTTGGAGCTTTCAAAAGGCTTCCTCCAACTTTGGAGAAAGCCTTCTGAAACCTCCGAAGCCAAAAAGGCAGGGAGAAAGCTGGGCTGAGCTCAGCTGGCACGAAGGGGACTTAGCATTGGGTGAAAGGAAGGAGCTGATTCCTGCCCGGCAGCCCGGCTTGCTTCCGAAGCCAAAAAGGCAGGGAGAAAGCGCGGGAAGTTCGAACTTCCCGTGCTTTCTCCCTGTCTTTTTGCCTTCAGAGAGCTCCGAAGCCGCCCATCGCAGCAGCGCGGACCCCAAGGGAGGTCTCTCCAGGCTTGCACGCCACCATGGGAGACTTCCCTGAGGGTCCTCACTGCTGCGATCGGTGCCTTCAGAGGTTTCAAAGGGCTTTCCCCAACATCGGAGGAAGCCCTTTGAAAGCTCCAAAGGCAGGGAAGAAGGGCAGGAAATTTGAATTTCCTGCCCTTTCTCCCAGCTCGCCTGGCGCACGGAGCCAGCAGAGCGCCGGGAGGCCAGAGCTGGCCAGGTGCCTGGCTGCTTGCCCCCGGCCACAGCGGAGGGCCGGAAGGCTTTGGACTGGTAAGTCCAGGGGGGTTATGTTTCCATGGTGTGTTGTTTTTTGCATGGTGTGTTGTTTTTTGCAGTCTCAGGGTGGAGATTGCATGATGTTTATTTTTGGGTGTGTGTTTTTTTTGTTTTTTGTGGGGGGGTTTGTAGCCTTTGGGCTTGCTGTGTTTATTTTTGGTTGTTTCCTTTAAAGTCCCAGTGCCTTCCGATGGGGGGTTCTGTGTGCTTTATTTATTTTATTTTATTTTATTTGGAATGCTGGAATGGATTAATCCGATTCCCATGCATTTCAATGGGAAATTGTACTTTGACTTAGGAACTTTCCGAGGTACGAACGGCCTTCCAGAATGGATTAAGTTCGTAAATCGAGGGCCCACTGCAATATTCTAAATAAAAACATTATCAAGAACAGGCTGTTCTTATAATTTCTGTATCTTTTCCTCAGACTCTCCAATACAATATTTAGTTGGAAAACCAAAAATACTACTTGAACAAAATACACTGTTGTGAAGTGAAATCTGCTCAACATTCTTAAATTAGTTCTATTCCTCTCGTTACTAGAAAAGCTATCTGTTGTGAATTCATTATATATTCCATAGCAATATCTAAAACAAGTGGCATTTAAGAACAGAATCCACGAACTGAAATGAATTTTAAAAACTACATAGAAGGTAGGGTTTCATGATGGCACAAAACAGCCAGGTTTCAGGCAAGCTCCTGAAATTGCCCAGGACCCTTCAGTTCCGCCCCCCCCCCCAAGCCGGGGGGGGAGAA